TGGGGGTGTAACTTTTGTTGTACGTCAAAAATTGTTGTTTCTTTAATCGATTATGCTTAACTGATCCACAAACAACCATTCAATTGCTATTTAAAAATAAAATCCCTTCTCACTTTGATAGTCCAGTAACTATATACATCAGACCATGCGTCAAATCCGGTAGTTCTGGTTTTTTGTGGGATTGCTTATGTTGTTAACCCAATGTATAATTCAAGTTTTCGACCTCGAGCGGCGAACGCAACATTGTCAAATATACTAAAAACCGAGGAATTTTCGTTTTCTTTTCAGATTTTGACGATTTTAACCCTGAAGGACCAGTTTTTCGCCAATAACGGTTCAATAAGTTTTCAAAGCAGACCAAATTTGCTATAATTTAAGCCCACATCCGTTTGTATAGGTGTAATAGATTCCGAGATAATGCTTTTCAAAGATTGTCAAATTTTTCTTATAGAATGTGGCCCGTAGAATCCATAATTTCAAACAGTTTCAAGATTGGGCTACTAGTTCAAAAGTTACAGCCCTTTAAATTTTCTTTCGAAATTGGTTTCTAGTCCATAACTTTTGATTGAGAAGTCTGAATAAATGGCAGTTCAAAATGTACGGAGTCTTGCAAGATCTGTAGAGCAATTGTAGTTTAAAGGCCCGGTTTTTGAATAGATTGATTAAATACAATAAGTACTAGTGCGCCATCTCCATGGCAATCGATACACTTTCTATCAATTATAGTTTTAGAAGTCTAGTTGAGATGTCGCCACGTACGCAACTTCTTTTAAAATTTCATTTGAATTTATGCGATTAATAGCAACGTCGCACTTATTATTCCTTAAATGCAGTGCCGTTTTTAAGTTTTTCGGGGCCCTGGGCCATTCGTTCGTGGAGGCCCTTCTTACCCTCAATAAAAACGGCAGATTGGGGAGATTCAAGCAAATCCCTAATTTGAATATGGGCACTCGATATTTGTGTAGCCTGGTTTGTAGGCAACACATCATGCTCAATGAACAGAAAACATTTTTTTGCAATTCGTAACTTCTTATGCATAGGAGTTTATTTAAAGCCCTTGGAAGAACAATTTCAATAACAGGTACATTAAACTGAACCGTTTTACAACAACTTTCACACGAAGATCGCACAAACAACACATTTTTTCGTGATTGCAAACTGCGTAACACTTTTGCCTTATTTCGCTGCCAATTTCACTACCGTTTCTACAACCGTAGTTCTATCAAATAAACTCTAGGCTCAATTCTTTAAAGAATAGCTTCGCACCATCGCCAGCTGCTGCAATCATGTAATCGTTCCGATTTTAACCTTGAGAAGTTTGAATTGCATAAGAATGGGTTTTCTGCGAGTTCTCGACGGTGTCCTCCTGTTTTGGTTACAAAGCATTTCCCTTTTCAATTTGTGTTGTCTGAATTCAATGCTAACGTTTCTCATCCATCGAGAACTACATGTCTTCGATTGCACGACCCAGAGCGAACAGTATCATATTCCGCAAAGGTTGAGTCTGCCGCTTTCCTGTCACTCCCAGTAGCCAGTTCCCTAATTTAAACCTGTAAGCGAGAAACGAATGATAACAAAGTTTAATTTTTGACTATAAAATAAACAATCATTTATTATGCATTTGAGGTTAAAATTTCATATATCTATGGTTTTTAAAACTTCGCTCTGACATCTAACGTTAATTACATAAAGTACATTACAAATTTAGTGTGGCGACATCTTTGAGGTGTACGTTCCAACTAAAATAATGGCGGTAATAAAGTGTCCTGCATTTATCGATAAAATGTTAGTCCCCAATAATAAAGACAGATGTCAGCACAATGTATTCTGCTTTGATTATTTTAATATTAACCAAAAACTCAGGCAAGGCTATAAACATTTTGGGATTTGTGCCTTTCGCTGTCAAAGGAGTAAACCACGAAACTCGAAAATTAAACATTTCGCTCCTGTATTATAGCCTATTCCTTTGCGTCATAGCGTTTTTGGATTGCCAAAGGACAGGGCGGGTAAACGGCCGTCCGTATACCTCGTTGGTATACCTAGATTTTTGACGATTTTAATAAAGTATCTGTTCGCAATACACGATTTAAATCGCCATAAGAGTACGCTGCAATAAATAAGAATTTTAAATCGGTGATCATTTTAAAGACTTGAGAGTTAAGTTTCATGTGAGTTAGGTTAGATACAAGATTTGTAAAAATTTAAAACGCCCAAACTAATCTGACCTAACCTAACTACGACTCTAACCAAACCTTCAATCAACTCCTTGAACATTATCATGATACCAGATTTTTGACCTAACCTAACTAGCACGCTAACCTAACCTCACTTAAATTTTATTTTAACCTTCGATCTCCTCGCACATTATATTCTCCTGATACCACATTTCTGAGCTAACCTAACTAGCACGCTAACCTAACCTCACTTAAATTTTATTTCAACCTTCGATCTCCTCGCACATTATATTCTCCTGATACCAGATTTCTGAGCTAACCTAACTAGCACGCTAACCTAACCTCACTTAAATTTTATTTCAACATACGATCTCCTCGCACATTATATTCTCCTGATACCAGATTTCTGAGCTAACCTAACTAGCACGCTAACCTAACCTCACTTAAATTTTATTTTAACCTTCGATCTCCTCGCACATTATATTCTCCTGATACCAGATTTCTGAGCTAACCTAACTAGCACGCTAACCTAACCTCACTTAAATTTTATTTTAACCTTCGATCTCCTCGCACATTATATTCTCCTGATACCAGATTTCTGAGCTAACCTAACTAGCACGCTAACCTAACCTCACTTAAATTTTATTTTAACCTTCGATCTCCTCGCACATTATATTCTCCTGATACCAGATTTCTGAGCTAACCTAACTAGCACGCTAACCTAACCTCACTTAAATTTTATTTTAACATTCGATCTCCTCGCACATTATATTCTCCTGATACCAGATTTCTGAGCTAACCTAACTAGCACGTTAACCTAACCTCACTTAAATTTTATTTTAACCTTCGACCTCCTCGCACATTATATTCTCCTAATACAAGATTTCTGAGCTAACCTAACTAGAACGCGGACAATTTTTTTTTCGGTGCTCAAAAAAAGGCAGTGTACAATCTTCCTTTTTTTCCAAAAATCTCCAAAACTTCTCGGGAAAACACTTTATCCTATCAATTTTGGTGCGTAGAATCCAAAACAATTCGTACTTTTTCGATCAGACTTCTCAATCAAAAGTTTTAGACTTCAAACCAATTTCGAAAAAAAAGTTCAAAGGGCTGTAACTGTTGATCTAGTGGATCATTTTTCCGATTCAAAATATAGGTAGCACTATGTTATACTTACCCCTTCGGAACGACAGCAAGCCGTAAAGATAAGCAGCTAAGGACGGCTTATCGCTCTAAGGGTGATTTACGACATTAATGCAACTCCTAGTGATTCAAGAAGAAATTCAGTCACCACACGTTCACAGTGTCTTCTCTAGATGTTCTGGCTTCTTTCGTGGAAATTCTTACAACTGCTGATTCGTACGCCGTAAATTCTGATATTCACGGGATCCGGGGGGACGTTGCGACTACCCCGGTATCGCATCAAGATGTCTGATAGGAATGGAGTAAACTTGAGACCCATTTACTTGATGATAATGTCGAAGCACTTGACAATAGATAATAGTTAATCGCTTCCTAACCACTAAATCATTTTACTCGGTCAATAATAAATTTTTAAGTAGGTACACATCGCCGACGGACATATAAACCCATATGTAGATGATACCTACCTTAGGCCTTATGTTGAGCGTCTACATGTGTCACGTTTATGTATATGAAAAATCACTGTATTGTGTAATGCAGATCTGTCGTATGTTATGCTTTTGTACGTAATTGTTCCTTCAGCTGCGAGTGCACCACTCCCATTATGAAGATCCTCCATAACGGATCATTGTTACAGTAGGATATAACCAATGACGTGTACATTTGACAATATTCACAAAGATCATGAGCACCTAGCGATGATATTCGAGTAGTTACCCACCAAGATTGTAACTTGAAATTAATCAACAATATATCATGAAAGCTTTATTGTTATATCCAGATAGTTTGATACAATGGCTAAATGTTTTAATTTATATTAATATAATTCACATTGAGTTAAAACAAATAAAATTACAAAAATATCACAAATTTCTTTCAACCGTTTCCCCTAAAGCCGAAAAGCAAATTTTGCAAACCACAAACATAATTTCCCTTTCCTTAGCTTTAGGTAAGTGGTTGAAAGAACTCCGTTCTAATATTTGAATAAGCCCTAAATACTATAACGTACCGAAAGTTTTCGTTCCACTTTATACAAATCTCACCTGTAGTTAACACCTTATAACAAAAACAGTTGATAACAAAAATATTAATAATTTACATCGGAAAGATTCTCTTGTAATAAGGCATTAATACAGCAATTTATTTACCTACGAATTTTGCTGGATAATCTTAAGTATTTTAATTTCGCTTCATTTCGGACAGGTTTGGGCAAATTAAAATACTTAAAACGACAAAGCTATTTAGTATATAATATATATCAAAAACAAAATAATATATAAAACATTTATATTTCTGCTTAATAAATAATTCTAGTGTAAGAAGCTGTTTCGCGCGTTTTTACTTTAAAATGGGTGGTTGAGAGAGAGTGCCCTTTTTGTACTGTTTTTATTAATCTCAAAGGAGATTTGAGTCGTCTGCACCAAGAAATTTTCTAACTAACATATTGCGAAGGCAGAAGCGGGTCATCAATTTCGTTCTCTTTACATACTAATTAAACAATAAATTATAAATAAACAAAACAATGGAAGTTTAATTGTTGGTATTCGTCTATTTTTTACTTTCTTCCTCCATGTCGCGAAGAAGCTGCTTCATTTCTTCGGACAGGTGGTGCTGGTCGCTTACGTACCTGCGGCAAGAGGTAATTATTAGGGTGGGTTTTGAGGGATGCGCTCCACGTACCGTTGACTAGAATGGCTGGATGGCCCTTGAGTAGGAACGTCGCTGTCGCCCTCCTCGCCTACATCTGAAAGTAATAGAAGATTAGTGGGCGAGCTCGACGAATCGGCGTGAACGTCATGCTGGCAAAAGTGCCTTAATCATAGTGGTTCAGTGCACCAGCTTGCTGTGATGCCTTTGTAACTCGTATTTGCTTCGTGCTTCTCGTTGGATAAAACCTCTACGTTAAAACGACAAAAGAAAACATTTAACGACGGGTGGGGGACGCAAACAAAGATGCATCGGGGGCAACAAACAAAAAAAGAGGGGGAGCAAGCAACTCTGAGATTCAATTTGGGAACACAACATATCATAAGCAAAAAAAACATTGAATGTTTCGCTAACGGACCGTTTACATTATGCACTACATGTAACCGATTCGTCTAATTCTCAATAAGTTCCTTGTGCTAACAAAGCTTTAAACTAAGAAATTGATTAGGGGTAGTTTGGACGGACACCGAGTGTTTTGTTATCTACCATGTGGAGGTAAGTTAAATCGCCAGTCGTGTTCTCTTGGATCCACTTCAATTTGGTCGTCTACACTGATTTCGTAACGTAGAGGGCGTCTACGGGATGCTTGTGCTACGAAATAACTCCATCAGGTAAATGTACCATAAGTAAAAAAGTCGCCGGCAAAGAAACGGGGACCAAGCCAATTTCCTTGCCGGCGATCACAATTCGGGGCGATTGCAAAACTTGTTTGGGTCCGTTAACTTGGCCCCCCCCCCCCCCCACCGAGAGATTTGATAGTCGTATTATTTTAAAATGTATGCGCTCATATGCGCCACCGATAATAACTCTTGCGCCATTATCGTTTTTTAGAAATCCGAAAAAACATTTGGGGGGGGGGGGGGGGTAAGTGAACGTAGCCCCCCCCCGTACGTATTTTGTCGTTTGCAACTAGGTCACCTGATACATTTGGTTTGCGCTCAATTGCGCCACTTGAATTAAAGTTAGCGCCATTACGGTTAAGCCGTGACAAATTTTCAAAAAAGCGGGGGGGCCAACTTAACGTTTTTAAAAGTTACTTTTTTTTTAACATCTTTTCATACGAAATTGTACTCTCAGGTATGCGCTGAAATGCGCCGTAAAAAGATATCTTTGCGCCATTCTTGTTTTTTGGTTATCCTTAAATATATTTGGGGGGGGGGGGGCAAGTGAATGGAACTCCCATAACGCATTTTGCTACCGGTATTTGTGCCACTCAATACATTTGGTTATGCGCTCAATTGCGCCACTTGAATTAAAACTAGCGCCATAAAAAATTTTTAAAAAGTGGGGGGGGGGCCAACTTAACGTTTTCAAAAGTTACGTTTTTTAACATGTTTTTTCAACTACATCGTACCTTTCATCATGCGCTAAAATGCGCCGTAAACAAAAATCTTTGCGCCATTATAGTGTTTCAGAAACACTATACAGGGTGTTTTTTTGGGAGCTTTAGTTAAACGTTTCTGGGAAAGTAAAATAGGTAGGTTTTTAAAAATTTGTACTTAGAAGTTACTCCGAAGGCCGACTCGATGTAAAATATTTTCAAAATGGGCGCACTTCCGGAAATACCGGAAGTGGCTAGTAACTTCCTTATTTTAAATGACCACCCCAATTTTATATTACATTTTTGGATTCTACGTGAAATTTCAGTTCTTTTGATATCTGCCATTTATGGTTTTTAAGTTATTTTGACTTTAAGAAAAGAAATGGCGGATGCAGGTGGTACTTTGATAATTGATTACTTGAAAACGGTTGTAGTCATAGCAACCCATTTTTATAAGTGCATAGAGAATGAATAGGGCTTTCATTTAGTGTACTTAAAAAAAGTTAAGTTGCGGACAATCGCACCTATATGGAGATCCAAAGTTATGAAACTTCAAAGACTAAAAACTCAGGTTTTTTTTAATTGAATGACCATTTTCTTATTATTACTATTACTACTATTAACAGACGATCAAATCAAATAACACTAACATCCATCATCTTAATAGTATCTTTGACTTCTCCGCATTCCCATTACATTACTCGAGGTGCGTACATACAATTTCATTTAAATATCTTAACAAATACAAAAATTAGATTGCGCATGCGCAATATTATTTTTTCATCTTCAAAATTGTTTGAGGTTTAATGAATATTTACGGACACAGAAAACCGGGCATTTATATGTTCTTTGTAACAAGAACTTATTATAAAAGATACCATTCTTTGAAGGTTCGAGCAGTTTTTGGGCTGTAACTGTTTGGCTCGTTAGTCTACGTAACTAAAAAACAATAGCGACCTTTCTTATATCCTTAAGAACATGTGTACCAATTTTCAAAGCGACCGGACGTTTCTAAACAAAGTTATCGTGCACAGGCAGACGGGCAGACATACAGCAGTACCAAATTATAAACTATCTCAAGGATCGTTAATACATGAAATCGGATTTATGGCTCAGTGGTAGAGCATTGGGTTATAAATCCGGAGGTCGGGTGTTCGAACCTGGGTTGAGGTGAATTTTTCATCTGTGGCGGAGATGGGAATTACCTTAGACCAGTTCTGAGCATTCTACCGGCTACTCCGAATTAGGTTTTCCTGCAGTTTTCCTAATTCGTAAGGTAAATACCGGAGCAGTATAGACCATCTTAAGACCTTCTGCAGAGGCACCTCTAAATAGCATTTATGCGGGTCACTCTGTAATTGAGCGCATGCCTGTTGAGGGCCCAAAACAAGAGAGAGGGATTAACTACATTGCGGCATAAACCAAGTAAGTGAATACCTATGAGTTATTGGCGATTATTGCAAATCGGGTTAAAATTGCACAATTAGAACATATAATTTCACCGCATACCCATATATACTGTATTCATTATAAGAAGGTTGTAGATGGCGCTGTGTTTGAAGATCGACACACACAGGAAAAATATAAAACGGCACAAAATTTGAAAAATATAAATATAAATTTAACGATATCACGCTTGGATCTTTGAAATTGACAGCTAATGACAGTTCGACAGTTTAGTTCGTAATTGAAACTTCTAACAGACAGAATTCGTCACTCGTTTTATTTTTTCAGGTTAATAGTGACTCGTGTTTTAACCAATCACAGTGAAGGTTAAACTGTCCCTAAGCTTTCTACCGCTACCTTCTTAAAATGAATAGCGTTATAGTTCTATGGGTACAAAAACTATCATGCGGAAAGATTTATGTTTATGTAACTTCTAAGTACAAATTTTGAAAAACCTACCTATTTTACTTTCCCAGAAACGTTTAACTAAAGCTCCCAAAAAAACACCCTGTATAGTGTTTCTGGAACACTATAATGGCGCAAAGATTTTTGTTTACGGCGCATTTTAGCGTATGATGAAAGGTACGATGTAGTAGAAAAAACATGTTAAAAAAGGTAACTTTTGAAAACGTTAAGTTAGCCCCCCCCACTTTTTTAAAATTTTTTATGGCTTAACCGTAATGGCGTTAGCTTCCAAATGTATCAGGTGACCTAGTTACAAGCGACAAAATACGTACTGGGGGGGGGGGGCTACGTTCACTTGCCCCCCCCCCCCCCAAATGTTTTTTCGGATTTCTAAAAAACGATAATGGCGCAAGAGTTATTATCGGTGGCGCATATGAGCGCATCATTTTTAAAATAATACGACTATCAAATCTCTCAGTGGGGGGGGGGCCAAGTTTATCGGACCCGCCGGTGACACGAATCGAAATAGCTTCACCTGAACTCACCTCTAAATGGCACCTGCTGGCGGGGGGGCGTCGGCTCAGGCAAGCCCGTCGCGACTTCACCTGCGGAAAAAACGCGATTAGCCCCGAAAATCTCACCCTTCAAATTCTGTTAGTAATTCAAAATCCGAGGAAAATTGTCCCATGCACTTAGTAAACCATGCAAAACGAAAAGTCGCAAAGAAACTTACCCAAAACTAAAAAGTGGATGTGCGAAACAAAATTTGAAAAATAAGGTTTCCCGTTCGGGTTCCGTGAAGCGTAACTACCTGAATGAAAGAAACACAATCGGGAAAGTGAGGATTGGACGAACCTGTAGTGTCACTCGCGATAGAACTAAGTAGACCGTGAACTGCCGAGGTAGGTTCCTGCTCTTCGGCGTGCTTCAGTCCAAATTTCTGCGTGTAAATTGTTTTAGTACCCTGTCCGTCCGTGTAAGTGCGCTTAACAACGCCCTGGCCGCTCCAATCGATCGGCTTTTGATCCGAATCGTCATCGGATTTGACCACGTATCGCTTCTGCACGATTCTTTTAACGTGCACGTTACCGTCGGCGTCCACCTCCTCAAACTCTTGCACGTCCTCCCCCTCCCCGAAACCTTGCAGATACTGGCGCATTTGCTCGTTGGCGTCGGGGCCCTTAAATGTGACCTTCCTCACTTCGGGAGGCAGCTCGACTCTCCTGTGAATCGTGTGGGAGTAATAATCGTCTCCCTCGCAGGGCTCGATTAGCTCGGTCACGTACGGCCTCGAGCACTCGTCGACGTACTCGGTCGTTAAGCGTTTCCCGCCACTCTCCGCATCGTCATCGAACCACACCTTTCGCACGGCCGCCGCCAAATCGACCACGTGCGCCCCGTTCGGGTCGATCGTGTCAGTCGAAGACACCATGGTGTTCGAACCCCCACTGGTAAAACTACCAGAGAACACCGAGTCCGTCTCGTAGTGGCACGTGGCGTGCGTCGCCGTCGAGCTGGAGATGTCGAGCGGATCGTGCGCCTCCGGTTCCTCCCTGACGGACGAGCTGAAGTCTTTGCCGGTGCTCGAACTGCTCTGATCGTAAACGCAGATGCGCGAGCCGTCCTCGTCAATCGAATCGCTGAGCAAGGCGGCCACCTGCCCTCCCGTTCCCGTCTCCAGCTCCAGCGAATCGCTCGAAGTCATCATGAAGCTGTAATCCGGAATATCCTTGAACTCGATACTATCCGACGCGATCACCTCCCTCCCGGGCTTCTGACGCGTTTGCACCTCGATCGAGTCCGTGCTGACCGTCATGAGGTCCGCGGCCGTCTTCAGGTCCAAGCTGTCCGCGCTATCGTTGCGCTTTTCGACCTTGACGTCCAAAGAGTCGGTGCTGGTCGCCATGAGATCGTCGGCGTATCCCCACTGGACCGGCATGTCCAGGTCCAAATCGGGCACCTTCGAGACCTCCTCGAGCGAATCGCCGCGCCCGATCGACTCGGGCTTCTCGTCGTCCTTCATATCGATGAACTTCTCGACGTTCGACTGCGCCTGTCGGATGATTTCGTCGATCTCGAACATTCGCTTCTCGTAGTCTTCCTCGTCCGAGTCCGGTATTAGCTTTTTGTCGGTACCGGACATGGTCTCGCAGCTCTCGGTCTCGGACGCGATGCTCTCCTGCCCCTCGTCGATCTGCGCGAGCATCGCCTCCTCCTCCTTGACCTTCTGCTCGATTTTGTGCACGGCAATGCACGCCTTCTCCAGCCCTTCGAACTCCTTGAGCGAGCTCACCGAGACGTCGTCGCCTTGCGCGTTTCGACTTGCGTGGTAGCGTTTGCCGAAGCTACCGTTGCTCGACGAATCCTGCGAGCCTTGATAGTAGCGCTTATTCTCCAGCGACATTGCGCGCTCCAGGTTCTCAAATTCTTGCAGACTAGACATGGAAACGTCGTCATTCTCGCCTGATCTAGTGAAGTACTTCCGGCCGGCCAGTACGTCATAATCGGGGGTGCTCGAGAAGGAATCCTTGCTACCGCCCGACCCCTTCTGCGACCCCACGCTTCCAATGCGACTCGATGACGGATCAAAGTCCGTCACCTCCTCCTCTTTGATATCCTCAAGAGGCGCTCGCTCGAAGTCCATCTCGTAACCGTAACCGACGGCCATCATCATCGCCTGATCGCCTTGAAATTGCTGCTCGATCCACTTTTTGTTCGCCTCCAGCTCGCGATCGTACTCGAAGCCGAAGTCGCGCGAGCCGCCCCCGTCCTTCTGCTTCACCTGCGGCGGGCTATCCTCAAACTCGAAACCGAGAACGTCACCGCTGGCCGGCTCGTAATCAGTCGAGGCCGGGGCCGACGCCGACTTGATCAGGTAATTCTCGACCTCCTCGTCGTGCTTCTTCGACTGTTTACCCATCGCGATTCGCACGCTTTTGCCTTCGGTGTCGTGCTCGAACGCCTCCTTCCCCACCTCCTCGATTATCACGAAATCGTCCATAAGGTCGGGCTTCTCGACCATCTCGAACGAGTCGCTGTTCGGCGAGCCGGTCTGCGATTCGGTTTCCTGTATCGTTCGCTCGACGACCGAGCCGATTTCGCTGCGCGACTCGGTACCGACGGTCACGCCGCCGTCGTCGAGCGCGTACTCCTTGCCCTGATCGGTCTCCTCGGACGTTTTGCTCGAATGCGAGGCGGGCGTTTCCGGCGTCGACTCCTGCGTTTCGGTCTCCTGCTCTTCCAGCTCGAGGTCGGGGTAGTGGAAGCCGGTGTCTATTAGCGGCGCCATGTGCTGGGTCACTTTGATGTCGGGTATGGAACCGGGGCTGTGATCTCTGATTTGCGCTCGGCGCTCCTCGAGCTCCTTTTGCGCGCGCTCGCGCGTTTCCAGCTCGTGCTTTTCGGCGTCCTCGTCCTCGAGAATTGGACAGATTTGTTTCACCTTGTGCGCGGGGGAGATGTGCGCCACCATGCTGAAGGCCGCCTCGGCTTCGGCCTCCTCGAAGCTCGACTTTTCGCTCGAGCTCGCGCTGGTTTTCACGTCTCGTTTTTCGAGAATGTCTTTGGGGGGTATTCGTTTGCTCTCACTCGTCCGCGACACGGCCTGCTCTAATTCGTCTACGCCGGCCTGCGCTTCGGGAGTTCCGTCTGCGCGTTCGCACTCATCCACGTCCTTTTTCTCATCGCTTCTCACTTCTTTGACGCTCAGCGCGTCGGTTTCAGACAGTTCCGCTAGGACGTGGGGCTCTACCTTTGGTATTATGGGGGAGACGAATGTGGTGCTTTCATTTCGCCTGTGACCCCGTTTCTTGGGGACGTCAGTTTCTGCGAAGGCCTGCGTGATATCTACGTCATCCTGAGTGGTGGGAGTGTGCGGTCGCGAGGTCACCTGCGTGCTTACGTTTTGCACCCCGTTTTCGGCAACCACCGCGCTACTGATCGTAACGGATCCACCCGTCAGGTCGAGGAATTGCGGATGAGTGGAAGTGGAGGTGTCCACTGTGACCAGGCTCTCTCGGCTACCCCTCGGCAAATTCTCCAGGTCGTCCAGGCTCAACTGCTCGGACGTGGCGGACACGTTCATGCTACCCTCATCGGCGCGAGAGAGTTCGATTACAGTCCGTAAAGCGGCGACGCTCGACGTGCTCGACAAGCTCATGCTGAGCACGCTGCCGTCATCGAGGCTGGTGCCGAACTTCTCTTCGCCCTCCTGTCCCATTTCCGACTGAGGCGATTCGGCCACCAGGACCTTGGGCTCCGGCTGGAACGTCATCTCGTGCGAGCGCTTCATGCGCGACGGAACGTCCTCGATCAATTTCGGCTCGTTACTAAACTCATCCTCGGACACGTCCATGGAGCCGTCTGGAAAATCGCCCGGTTTCTCTCTCTCGTCCTCCTCGTCACCTTGGTACTCCAATTCCGACGCGATCAGCGTCTCCGATATCTCGGAAACCTCCACGCTCGCCAAATTACCGGAGCTCTCGCTGTCGAGGCTCTTCATGCTCTCCTTCGAACTTAGACTGCTAACGGCCGTGTGATACTCGGAAATGTGCGACCGCCCCGATATGTCCTGCGATGTTAAGGCACTCTCGTACTCCGACGATCCGGCGGCGAACAGTCCCTCCACGTCCGACGAGCACGGCCTGCTCTTCCCGCTGTCCAAGTCGAAACTGTGATAGTGACTTTCGCCCGAGCTGGAGTACGCCTCGAAGTCGACGCCCGATCTTCGGTCGGGTTTCAAATTGCCGCTGCTGCTGCTGGTATCGGGATCTTTCGCCAGCTTCGTCTTGCGAAGTATCACGTTGGGCCGATCCGTCGTCTTGCTCACGGTATCCGAGTCGCCCCTGCGTCCCGACGAGCAGGTCGAGAACAGCTCCTCGGGCGACTTGATCGACTCGTCCAAGCTCGACTTCGATTCGTCGCTTAGCGTGCGCTCCACCTCGTCGTGAACGGTCACGACCGTTTTCGTCGCGTCTTCGCAAACCGTTCCCGTCGAGACTTTCACGCGGGTCGTCTCCTTAACCTCCTGGTACTCAATTTGGGAACCGTCCTCGGCCGTGATCGTCTCCTTTGAGTCGTCGGTGGTCGATTCGATTTCCTTCCGGTGGAAAGCTTCGGCGAGACGTTTACTCGTCTCTAGCCTATCGATTAATTTGTCATCTGTAAGTGTTTGCGTTTTGGTTTCTGTTTCGTAGGCGCCTCTCAGTTCGGTTAGGTCTTCACTTTTGGATTCGCCTTGCGCTTTTTCTAAAGAGAGCGAGTCGGTGGTGATCGTTCGGGTGTCTCTTTGGGAGTCGGCGGAGTGCAAGATGCGTTGTTGGGTGCTTGCCGCGGCGGCTTTACGCACGAGGCCGTCTTCGGTAACTTCGAGCTCGTCTACGGTGACGGTTTCAGTGAGATCTCTGGAGACGTGGTCTTTCGTTGTGGAAAAGTCAGGCGCCCCCTTCACTGACTGTGCGGACTTGAGTCGCTCGGTGAGTTTGGTTACAGTTTGGCGGCCATCCTCAAACGAGCTGGTGCTTTTGCTAACGAAGGACTCGTCCGTGCTTTGCTCTTCGAAGTCTTTCTTCATCGAGCTGAAGACGTCTTCGATATTTTTCTCCGCTTCCAGCTGTTGCAAAATCAAGGCCTGGCTGGCGGATGGGGAGTAGTCGATGTCGGTCCCGCTGAATTTTAAGTCCTCGTCGGTGATCTCCATGCTCGAGGCTTGGGTGTCGTCGCGCTTCAGCTGCGAGAACTGTCGCTGTTTGCACGCCAGGACCGATTCGACCAGCTGTATTTCGCGCGAATCCAGCCCCTTGGTCTCGGCAAGCTGCCTCAGGTAGTCGGAGACCTGGGTCTTGGCCGTTTCCGGCGTCGGCGGCTCGGCCTCCGCCGACGTTCCCAGCTGGTGGCGCTTCTGTATCTCGCTCTCGATGTCCTCGAGCAGTTCGGCCGCGATTTTTCGCGCGTCGTCCGGGAGGATGTTTTGGTGGTGCAGACTCTCGAGGATGATCTGTTCGATTTCGCTGTGACTTCCCGAGCGAGTGCGATCTAAGGTGGGCAAGTCGGCGGCCTTCTCGAAGCCGGGTTGGGATTCGACGGACGCCTCCCAGACTGTGCTTTCCACGTGCTGCTCTGGGTGGTGCACGGGCGAGCTCGCCTCTGATTTCTCGGCGATGGGGCTGACTATAGGGGCCTCAGGTTGGGGGGCATCGAACGACTCATCGCTGTCTTCGCTAATGCGCCGCTGTTTGCCGGAAAGCGTCACCGTAATTTCGGGAATCAAGTCGTCAGTGGCATGCAGTCTAGGTGCTTCTGACGCGTTTAGAGAATCAAGCGATTTGGTTTCGATGTCGGTCGCGTCCTGTTCGTTATCGGTGATCTTCTCGGAGTCCTCCACCTCGCTCTTATCGACGTGGACCTCCATTGAGTCACCGGGTCTAGATATGCTATCGTCCTTGGTCAGTTGGAGGTTTTCCAAGCTGCGTTCGGATAGGCTCTTCTCCGATTCCGTCGAGGACCTTTTGATTTGCAGATCGACTTCTAATTCGCGCTCGAATTCCCTTTGCTGGCTCATGAATAGTTCGGCGTACTCCTCCGCTAGTTTTTGCTTTTCGGCGGGCTCCACCTTTGTATCGGCCGCATCAAACGCTTTCGCCAGATCCTTCACGCTCGGGTGGAAGGAGTCCGCGCTCTCTGGGACGCTACGCGTGCCGCTAGGCTCGTCTTCGGCCACCTGGAGGTCGCGCAAGGTTTTGTGTTCGGGCGAGGGGTCCTCCTCCGATTCCGTCGTGAACTGTTCTTCGACCATTTCCTTCCTCAGCAGCTCTTCGAAGTGCTGCTTGCGAGAGAGCATCGCGGCGGATATGTCGTAGAGATCTTCGGTCGGCAAAGACAGAGATCGCTCGTAGATGCTTTTCCGCATCGGAGCGGCGGGCTGAAACACGCTCATCTGGCGCGAGCGGATCTGCGGGACGCGGTCCTCGATTTCCGAATCGGAAATGTAATGCTCCACGTCCTCGCTGTCCGAAATATACCCCTGCTCTTGGCTCGGTATCGGTTTATCAGATTCGAAACTGTCCTCCGACCGAAACTCGACGCGGTGCTTCGTTTTCCGTTCCAACGGGTCTTGGAATTGCGATTGGTACTCCGACATAATCCTAGGCGCGGTGTCGCTCCCCGACACGTTCGTGGTCTCGGTGAGCTCGCTGGAGGTCGAGTCCACGGAGACCTCGGACGTTTGCGCGATGGTGCGCGGTTTCGGTACCGGCCGAACCAGCTGGTCTTCGTGAAGAGAGGTGCGTTTCGTAAACGGAACCCTCTCCTTGACCAGCTCATCGTGTAAGCTCATACGTTTCGAGATCACCTTGGGAGTCTCCTCGGTCGCGATGCTCTCCCAAAATTTCTTCTTATCAATGTACGATTTCGTCTCCTCTTCGGCGGTCAAATCGGTATCTAAGATATCGTCGCGCACTGGGGACTTTTGCGACTCTCTCGACGGTACCTTGTCCAAATCGGTCGGTTTCACTACTCTGGGTTTAGGTTTGGGTATTTCGGTTGGTGTTAGTTCGGCTGAAGTAGTTTGTGTTAGTCCGAGGCTGGCGTCTAAAAAGAGGGGGGTTAGATATTAAGGCAACCTAGCAGTTAGTACATTAATACAGTTACAACTGAGCCGAAAGCAATGAATGTCAACAAATGTGGAGAGACATTTGATCGGATTTCGTTATAAAAGCTGCCCGGGAAGATGAGAACTTACCGTCAATGGTGGAGATGGAAAAGTGTGAGAAACACAAAAAAAAAAACAGAACCAAATCGTGTTGGTAACTTAACTTCTATTTAAAGAACAGAAACTCAGCCAAAGTTGCTTGGTGCATACAATATAAGGTAGATACCTGTAAATCGTAAAGCCAGTGTGTTAGTGTCTAGTGTTGGACATGCAAAAATCAAACATATCGGGCTCCTGTCCATCTTCTGTCAACTACCTACTGAGAAAAAAGCGTGTGTGCCTCAATTACCTAAGGGAGACTTTTCGAGGGGGCAAGACTCTCTGACAAGTTTGTCCCTTTTCGTACTCGTAACGTACGGCACTGCATCGTTCTGCTCTGTTTCTAGAGAATCGAGCGAGCCGAACGGGCTCGCTTTGCTTAGCCAGCTCATGACGGCGGAGGTAACCGCCCCTTTCGACAGCGACTCGGTACTACCGAGCGATTTGGCAACGGAACCGTACAAAGATTGGGTACTTCCCAGCTCAGATTTGGCCTCCAAAAAAGTACCGGGATCTCTTTTCAAAATCGCATCCAAGATTGATCCCTTAGTGTAGACCTTGTCAACTGAGAGCAAGTCCGGTAAACTGCCACGTTCGTCGGGTCTCTTCCGACTTTGGAATCCCAATTCGGAGTGCGGACGCTTGATTTTCCTCAAGGACTTCGGCGAGTGATACGGACTACGCCTAATCGGTATTACACAAACTTCAACCCCAGCTCTATTAGTACAGTGCTCTTTATTTAAAGTCACGGGACCCATATAGACAACTTCACCTGCGGAATCAAATCTAAGTAAGCTTTAATTAGGAGTTACCTTGTGCGAGAAGGTCCCGATATGTTTGGGTGGTTAAACGGAAGAGAGTGCGTGATGTATCATGCTACAGCGAACTATGTATAAATGAAACGTACTAAGCTTTAAGTATGTGTGAGAGGGTGTTAAAGTTAAATCTACCACATCTAATATCTACCTTGCGGTAAGTCTTGCACGTCAGCCTGACTGCCGGGTGTCTTACAACTTTTATCCTCGCTGGAGGAAATCACATGCGTGTCCCAAAGGGCCGAGTACTCCTTTTGCAAATCCGAAAGCTCCTCGGGGCTCAGTTCGGAAACCATAGTGCGAAAATCACTCTCCCGCCTAAACTCTAAGTCGGGCGTCGCCAGTTTCGCCTCCTCAGCCTCCCTATCGAGAGTTTCGGAAGCTAGTCGTTCGAATCTTCTCTCAACCCTTTTCAATTTACCCTCAGACCTTTTGCTCAACTCAACGTCGGCCTGCTCGAGCGACCCTAACGCTTTCTCTAAGTCCTCCAACTTTCTCTCGATCACGTCAACATCCGACTGCACGTCGGGCTTGAACCCGCTCGTCTGCTCGACCAACTGGTCCAAGTCGCGAGTCTGCGCTTCGGTTTGCTTAATCAACTCGTCGAAATCTTTCGCGCTAACAGTACGAATGACAAACTTAGTGCTGGCCTGGCCCTCGTCACCAGCGCCCTCCTCCGACTCTATATGAAAGAGCGGTTTGCGCTGTGGATCACCACCACCACCCGATTCGCTGTCTAAATCTGTAACTTTAACCGAATACGAGATTCTAACAGGGGACGACTTCTCACTGGACACGTCCTTCTCCAACTTCGAGATAAACTCCTCCATCGCCAAAGGCCGACCCTTCGCTTCAGGGAAATAATCCTCCATCACGGGCAAACGCGACAAATCCATATCCTTCTCCGAAACCGTGTACGTTTTCTCACTGGTGAAAACCTGAGGTTTCCCAATTCCGTCGTTATCAGACTTGGTGCGCGTAATGGTACTTTTAACCGTACCGCGCAGGCCTAATTTATCCCCAGTAGGCTGCGCAACAGGCTGATCGTCCCGGTAACTCCTTTCGTAACTGATGAAAGCCTGCGTCACGTGTCCAACAGGAGAAGGAAGTCGAGGAATCGCACCAGAATCGCCACCGGCACCAGCTTCAGACCTCACTAAAACATCAGAAGCGGCAACCTCCACGTCTTTATCGGGACTTTTCAATTCCTTCGATTTTCCGGACAACTTACGTCCGAGGCCGGATAAAAATTTTCCGGATTTAGTGGGAGATTCCTCGGGAGAACCTTGTGTTTCAAATGTGGACTGTTTTGGGGAATCCTTCTTAGATTTTCCGGAAATTTTCCCACCCAAGCCAGAGAGGAACTTTCCGGATTTAGAACTTTTAGGAACGTCGGCTTCATCTTTAACGTCCTTCGAGTCTTTAGCTTTTCCAGAGATTTTCCCACCTAAACCGGAGAAGAATTTTCCGGTTTTAGATGCGGCTTCGTCTGCTTCAGCCTTAGCGTCGTGAGCGGCACCTTCGACGGCCTTAGAGACGTCGGTTGCGGCCTTGCCAGTTTCGTCTACGATCTTATCCTTTGTTTCTTTGGCTGAGTCCTTTACATCTTTAGCCTTGCCGGAGATTTTGTCACCTAAACCGGAGAAGAATTTTCCGGTTTTAGATGCGGCTTCGTCTACCTCAGTTTTTGCGTCGTGAGCGGCACCTTCGACGGCCTTAGAGACGTCGGTTGCGGCCTTGCCAGTTTCGTCTACGATCTTATCCTTTGTTTCTTTGGCTGAGTCCTTTACATCTTTAGCCTTGCCGGAGATTTTGTCACCTAAACCGGAGAAGAATTTTCCGGTTTTAGATGCGGCTTCGTCTGCTTCAGCCTTAGCGTCGTGAGCGGTACTTTCGACGGCCTTAGAGACGTCGGTTGCGGCCTTGCCAGTTTCGTCTACGATTTTATCCTTTGTTTCTTTTGCTGACTCCTTTACATCTTTAGCCTTGCCGGAGATTTTGTCACCTAAACCGGAGAAGAATTTTCCGGTTTTAGATGCGGCTTCGTCTGCTTCAGCCTTAGCGTCGTGAGCGGTACTTTCGACGGCCTTAGAGACGTCGGTTGCGGCCTTGCCAGTTTCGTCTACGATCTTATCCTTTGTTTCTTTGGCTGAGTCCTTTACATCTTTAGCCTTGCCGGAGATTTTGTCACCTAAACCGGAGAAGAATTTTCCGGTTTTAGATGCGGCTTCGTCTACTTCAGCCTTAGCGTCGTGAGCGGCACCTTCGACGGCCTTAGAGACGTCGGTTGCGGCCTTGCCAGTTTCGTCTACGATCTTATCCTTCGTTTCTTTGGCAGAGTCCTTTACATCTTTAGCCTTGCCGGAGATTTTGTCACCTAAACCGGAGAAGAATTTTCCGGTTTTAGATGCGGCTTCGTCTGCTTCAGTCTTAGCGTCGTGGGCGGCCGCAACGGTTTTTTCTTTTGTTTCTTTGACGGAGTCCGAAATTTCTTTTTCTTTTGCGCTAACTACCTGCGTTGCAACTGAGATTGTTTCTTCCGCCTGATCTTTGACTTCCTGTGATTTTCCACTAATCTTTCCCCCTAGTTTAGAGAAGAAGCCTTTCTTCGGACTCTTCTTCTCTTCAGTTGTTGGCAACTTTTTGAATGTGCTGTCTTGTTCTTGTTCTTCGTCCCTTTGCGCTACTTTGGCCTTCTTATCTTTGGTCTTTTGCGTTTTTCCGCTGATCTTTCCTCCGATTTTTCCAAAGAGAGTGGTCTTCTGTGGTGTCTTCAGGTCCTCATCTTTCGTTTTCTCTACTTCTTCCGGTTGTGGGACCTCGACTTCAGTCTCCTTTGAGACGGTTTCATCCGGTTTTTCTACGGTTTCTTGTGTCGGTGATGATGGCGGGGTTTCGCTTTGGAAATGAACGCTTTTTCCTTTGATTTCCTCGGGGCTTTGTATAAAGGATTGTTCGGTTTTCTTTTGCACGATAATAATTTCGCCGTTGTCGCGGAGCATTTTTGTGTCAATGGTGGCTGTACCGTCCTCCGAGTCTGCGAAACTTTTGAAGGCTTTTTCGATCTCCCTCTCTGGATCGGTTGTTGTAATTTCGTAAACAGTCTGAGTCACAATCTTCTTTGTTTCTCTCAGCACCTTCACGTTTGGATCGTCTTCGTCTTCCGTGAGCTGTATTGAACTGTCCACGTGTGTTGAAGTTTCCTTTGTAACCGCCTCTGAGATTCCACTCTTTGCGATCTTTTTGTCAACGTCGTCCTTCAGATCGCCGGCACCCTCCGGCCCTTTCTTTTTGGAAAACACCGAGAAGGTTCCTGCCTTTGCGACCGTCTGCGATTCCGCGTCGGAAGCGGGCCTGACATCTTCGAAGTGCGCCCTTTCGGTCTCCAGGAAGTTGATCGTGTCAACGTGGGAGGGCGGCGCCGAAATTGGCATTTCTCGACGGATAAACCGGGTCGACTCTGACTCGCTCGGTCGCGTCGGCAAGACGAGTATGTCGTCAAAAACGGAAATTTCGCGATTGAGGAAGTTCTCCGTGTCCGATATCTGGCGCAAGGTGTCGTCGGTGACTGCAGGCGGTACGGTGGGGACGACTTCAATTGGACGAGCTCTAACTGAGCCTGTGGGTACATCTCCCTCTCTCTGTAACGCGTGAGTGGTAGACGCGAGTGGCCTGACGTCATTGTATCTTTGAGTTTCTTCAATTAAGAAACCTTTAGAGTCGGCCATTGCTTGCACTACCTCTTGGGAAAGAGGTTGAGGAGGAAGTTCGTCCTTTTTCGATTTTTTCCCGAATAAGCCGAAAATTCCACTTTTCTTAGATTCATCTTTCTTCTCTTTGGGAATTTTCTCGGCGGCTTCCTGAACCGAAACGGCTTCTTTGGTTATTTCCGGCTCTAGTGAACCCTCCCGTTTCCCCTTCTTGCCAAGGCGACCGAACAGTCCCGATTTTTTGCCATCTGCCAGTTCTTCGCCACCTTCCTTTGGCTTTTGCTCGGATTTTACCGTCTTCACATCGTGATACTTTTCAATTTCCGTTGTAAGAAAATCGGAGGAGTTCGCCATTTGCTCCTTGACAACTTCTGATAGCACGGGACGATCTTCAGCTTCAGTCACGCGCTCTTGGATCTCTGGCTTGGCAATTTCCGGCTGAGTTATGGTACTCGGTACTTTAGAACCGGCCAATTCCGTCTTGGCAACTGGCCGAACGTCGTGATAATTTGCCACTTCCTGTGCAATGAAGTCCGTTGTAAGTGGTCGATCTTCCACCGTGGGGCCTCCCTCCTTGACTAGATCAGGCAGTGCGGTACTATGCACTATTCGAGCTCCGGGAGAGGTGATCTGGTACTGAATGGTGTCCTGGTAAAATCGTTCCGGTGAGCCATCCTCGATTACGACGACCTCCTTGATGATGGTATGATGGGCAGGTTCGAAAAGGCCCTTCACTACGGGCTTCTTCCCTTCGCCGGGTTCCTCGCTCGCTTTCAGTAGCATTTGTTTGGTCTGTTCGTCCATCGGTACTTTAGACTCCGAAATTTGCTTCACAATGTCATGCGTGGGGATGCGGTCTTGCATGGTAATGGTTTCCTTCATGACTGTCCGTTCCAAACTACCGTCCTTCTTCACCCTCCTGGCCCTCGCCTTCTCACCTTCCTCCAGAATCAAGTCGGTTGCATCGTGCCTATGCACCGGCTCTATAGGCTGCGCTTTGACGTCATCGTAGCGCTCAATTTCGTACCGTAGAAAGCTGGACGAGTTCAGCATGTTTTGCTGAACTTCTTCGGAAACTGTCGGTGATACCCGACGAGCGGCGACGGGCTTAACGTCTTCGGTTTCCAAAAACGAGGTGCCCTCACCGACCACTTGTTTCTCGACCGAGCTCTCTCTGGATTTCTTGCCGAAAATGCCGAACAGGCCGCTCTTGCGTTTCTCTTCAGAATCGTCCTCCTTTTTCTCAACGGATTTCTTGCCCTTTTTACAATCGGCCTTCTCCGGCGATCGTTCCCCTGGCCTGACATCGTGGAACCGGTTGACTTCCTCCTCGAGAAAATCGCCAGAGCTGATTAGACCATCGGTACCGGTACCGGGTAAGTGCTCACTTTTAACGTCGGTAATTTTGACGGTGAGAATTTCGGTGGGCTGTTCGGGGCGTATTTCCACCGTATCTCGGGATGGTGACACCATCTTCGTGGCAGTTGACAGTGGCCTAACATCGTGATATCTATTCACCTCTTCCTTTAGGAAGTCGGAGGTCTCGAGCATTTCGCGTAGCTCTGGATGAGGCTGAGGCGCAGATGGCGCAAGGTCCAAAGGCGCGAGGGTGGTTACGATTATTCCCTCGACCTCTTTTGGTCGTGCCACTTCTTCGGCGACGCGCGGCCTCACGTCTTCGAACCTCGCGATTTCTTCGCTTAGAAAATCTGTCACTTTGTCTTTGTCGAGCCCCGGTTCGCTCTTCTTCATCTTTTGCCCGAACAACGTAAAACCTCTGCCTTTCTTCTTCTCGTCTTTTTCGCCGTGATCCATTGGCTGCACAACGTCAATGAGTGACGCGGTCGCGGCGGTCGGGCGAACATCCTCAAATCGGGACACCTCCTCTTTCAAGAATTCAGACGAATCCTTCACGTCGGTCACGATGGGAGCAGGTGCAAGTATAGTGGTCACTTCAACCGTCGTCCTCTCACTCGACGGCTCTCGTTTGTGTTTCTTTCCAAACAACCCACGTATGCCCCCCTTTTTAGGGGACCCTTCTTCGACAGCGGACTGAACATCTTCCGCGGTCGCCGCTTCGCTGGGTTTCTCCACGGATTTCTCGCGCTTCGGTTTCTTCCCAAACAGCCCGAGGATGCCGCTCTTCTTTTCCTCTTTGGTTTCTGGTACGGTTTCAGTTTCTTCTACCGGCTTAATAGGCCGAACGTCATGGAAACGCGCAATTTCTTCTTTCAAAAAGTCATCTGAGTTCTCCATACCGAGTTTGGTTTCTTCAGATAAAGTTGCGGAGGTTGCTAGTGTCGTTACCATCACCACCTCTTTTTCGCTTGGTCTTTCAACCGAACCATCACGTTTAGGTTTCTTGGCAAACAGCCCGAGAATGCCGCTCTTCTTTTCCTCTTTGACTTCTGGCACGGTTTGTTTGATCTCAGTTTCCACCACTGGTTTTATAGGCCGAACGTCATGGAAGCGCGCCACTTCTTCTTTTAGGAAATCATCAGAGTTGTCCATTATGGTCTTGGTTTCTTCAGTGAGAGGGGGTTTGGCGGTTGCTAAGGTAGTCACCACCACCACCTCTTTCTCAGCTCTTTCAGTAGATCCGTCACGCTTAGGTTTCTTCGCGAATATCCCGAGAATGCCGCTCTTCTTTTCTTCTTTGACTTCTGGCAAGGTTGCTTTGATTTCAGTCTCTACCACTGGCTTAACAGGCCGAACGTCATGGAAACGCGCGATTTCTTCTTTTAAGAAGTCATCGGAGTTCTCCATACCGACTATTGTTTCTTCAGATAGAGGTATGGCGGTTGCTAGTGTTGTCACCACCACCACCTCTTTTTCGCTTGGTCTTTCAACCGATCCATCACGTTTAGGCTTCTTCGCGAATATCCCGAGAATGCCGCTCTTCTTTTCCTCTTTGACTTCTGGAACGATTTGTTTGACCTCAGTTTCCACCACTGGCTTTATAGGCCGAACGTCATGGAAGCGCGCTATTTCTTCTTTTAAGAAGTCATCGGAGTTCTCCATACTGACTTTTGTTTCTTCAGATAAAGGTGCGGCGGTGGCTAGTGTTGTCACCACCACTACCTCTTTTTCACTGGGTCTCTCAACCGATCCATCACGTTTAGATTTCTTCGCAAACAATCCTAGGATACCGCCCTTCTTTTCTTCTTTGACTTCTGGCATGGATTCTTCGATTTCAGTTTCCACCACTGACTTTATAGGCCGAACGTCATGGAAGCGCGCCACTTCTTCTTTTAGGAAATCATCAGAGTTGTCCATTATGGTCTTGGTTTCTTCAGTGAGAAGGGGTTTGGCGGTTGCTAAGGTAGTCACCACCACCACCTCTTTCTCAGCTCTTTCAGTAGATCCGTCACGCTTAGGTTTCTTCGCGAATATCCCGAGAATGCCGCTCTTCTTTTCCTCTTTGACTTCTGGCACGGTTGCTTTGATTTCAGTTTCTACCACTGGCTTAACAGGCCGGACGTCATGGAAACGTGCAATTTCTTCTTTCAAAAATTCATCTGAGTTTTCCATACCGACCTTTGTTTCTTCAGATAGTGGTATGGCGGTTGCTAGTGTTGTCACCACCACCACCTCCTTTTCGCTGGACCTCTCAACCGATCCGTCACGCTTAGGTTTCTTCGCAAATAATCCTAGGATACCGCTCTTCTTTTCCTCTTTGACTTCTGGCACGGTTTCTTTGACCTCAGTCTCTGCCACTGGCTTAATAGGCCGAACGTCATGGAAACGCGCGATTTCTTCCTTCAAAAAGTCATCAGAGTTCTCCATTACGACCTTGGTTTCCTCAGTGAGAGGCGGTTTTGCGGTTGCAAAGGTAGTCACCACCACCATCTCCCTCTCTGGAGCTCTGTCAGTAGATCCATCACGCTTAGGTTTCTTCCCGAACAGTCCCATAATGCCGGTCTTCTTTTCTTCTTTGACTTCCGGAACGGTTTCACGAATTTCAGTTGTTACCACTGGCTTAACAGGCCGGACGTCATGGAAACGTGCAACTTCTTCCTTTAAGAAGTCGTCCGAGTTTACCACCACGGTTTGCTCTAGTGAAGGTAGTTTGACAGTTTCTAGGGTGGTCACCACCACCACCTCTTTTTCGGGCGGTTTCTCGATAGATCCCTCGCGTTTATGCTTCTTCGTAAACAAGCCGAGTATGCCGCTCTTCCTTTCTTCTTTGGTTTCTGGAACGGTTTCCTGGACCACAGCTTCTTCGGCTAGTTTAATAGGCCGAACGTCGTGGAAGCGTGCAACTTCTTCCTTTAAGAACTCGTCCGAGTTGACCAAGACGGTTTCTTCTGTTGGAGGTGGTTTGGCAGATTCGAGGGTGGTCACCACCACCACTTCCTTTTCAAGAGGTTTCTCAATAGATCCCTCGCGTTTATGCTTCTTCGTAAACAGACCGAGTATTCCGCTCTTCTTTTCTTCTTTGGTTTCTGGAACGGTTTCCTGGACCACAGCTTCTTCGACTGACTTAATCGGCCGAACGTCGTGGAAACGTGCAATTTCTTCTTTTAAAAAGTCATCAGAGTTCTCCATTGTGACCTTGGTTTCTTCAGTGAGAGGAGGTTTGGCAGTTGCTAAGGTAGTCACCACGACGACTTCCTTTTCGCTAGGTCGTTCCACGGAACCTTCACGTTTAGGTTTCTTCGAAAATAGCCCGAGGATGCCGCTCTTCTTTTCTTCTTTGACTTCTGGAACGGTTTCTTGAATTTCAGCTTCTATCACTGGCTTAATAGGTCTAACGTCATGGAAACGTGCCACTTCTTCCTTTAAGAACTCGTCCGAGTTGACCAAAACGGTTTCTTCTGTTGGGGGTGGTTTGGTAGATTCAAGGGTGGTTACCACCACCACCTCCTTTTCAAGAGGTTTCTCAATAGATCCCTCGCGTTTATGCTTCTTCGTAAACAGACCGAGTATTCCGCTCTTCTTTTCTTCTTTGGTTTCTGGAACGGTTTCCTGGACCACAGCTTCTTCGACTGACTTAATCGGCCGAACGTCGTGGAAACGTGCAATTTCTTCTTTTAAAAAGTCATCAGAGTTCTCCATTGTGACCTTGGTTTCTTCAGTGAGAGGAGGTTTGGCAGTTGCTAAGGTAGTCACCACGACGACTTCCTTTTCGCTAGGTCGTTCCACGGAACCTTCACGTTTAGGTTTCTTCGAAAATAGCCCGAGGATGCCGCTCTTCTTTTCTTCTTTGGCTTCTGGAACGGTTTCGTGGACCACAACTTCTTCGGCTGGCTTAATAGGTCGAACGTCATGGAAACGTGCAACTTCCTCTTTTAAGAAGTCATCTGAGTTTTCCATGCCGACTTTGGTTTCCTCAGAGAGAGGCACGGCTGGCGCTATGGTTGTCACCACCACCACTTCTTTCTCGCTGGGTCTTTCAACGGAACCTTCACGTTTAGGTTTCATCCCGAACAGTCCCATAATGCCGCTCTTCTTTTCCTCTTTAACTTCTGGAACGGTTTCACGGGCCTCTACCACCGGCTTAATGGGCCGAACGTCATGGAAGCGCGCGATCTCTTCCTTTAGGAAGTCATCCGAGTTATCCATGAGGGTCTTGGTCTCTTCTGAAACAGGCGGTTTTGTGGGGGCTAAGGTAGTAACCACCACCACCTCTTTCTCAATAATGTTGTCCATACCGGTTTTGGTTTCTTCTGAAGGAGGCGATTTGACGGTCTTTTCGTCAGGTTTCTCACCGGACCTAGGCTTCTTCGCGAATATTCCGAAGATGCCGCTCTTCTTCTCCCCCTTCGCCTCTTTGTGGGATTCTAATTCTGGCTCGGCAACCCGCACATCATGAAATCTTGCCACTTCATCCTTGAGGAATTTGTCAGAGTTGTCCATGCCAATCTGCGTCTCCGCCGAGAGAGGCTGTCTCGTGGTCACCGCAGGTCGCACGTCGTGGAATCGCGTTATTTCTTCTTGTAGGAAATCATCGGAAAGTTCCCCGCCTGATTCCTTAGTGTCTGCCGGTGCAGCGTTGATTACGGTAGTCACCACCACCACCTCTTTTTCGCTCGGTCTCTCGTCGCGCTTCGCTTTCTTCCCGAACAGTCCCAAGATGCCGCCCTTCTTCTCGTCTTTGACGTCGAGCGCGGCTTCTACCACCGGCTCCTCCTTCAGGAAACCGTTCGAGGCTATTACAGTATCCGTCTCGACGGTTTGGTCGGCTGCGCCGACCAAACGAACATCATGAAACCTGGCAACCTCCTCCTTGAGAAAACTGTCCGAATCCTCCATGGCGTCGACAGTTTCCCGAGACAGCGGCGCCCATTCCGCTGACTTATCGCGCTTAGGCTTTTTGACGAACAGGCCGAAGACGCCGCTCTTCTCGTCCGTCTCTTTTTCGCTCGGTTTCTCGAGCGACTGGTCTCGTTTCGGTTTCTTACCGAACAGTCCCAAGATGCCGCCCTTTTTCTCCGGGTCGTCGTCGGCGACGGGGCGAACGTCACTGTATCCGCTCACTTCGCCGTTAATGAAACTGACGGTGTCTGCGACCTGGGGCGGCTTGCCGAAGATCGGACCGCGCGCCTTGCCCTCGGGGAATTCCTCTCGGGGCGGTCGGCGATCCTCGAATCGCGCGACTTCCTCCCGTATAAACGTCTGGGTGTCGTCGATCGTCTTTTTGGGTTCGCCGTCGTCGGAAAGCGGACTCGCGACCGTCGGAAGCGGCTCTTCCGATCGCTTGCTCTTCTTGAACTTGTTGAAGATTCCGCGCTTGTGATCTTCGCTTTCGCTCTCGCTCGACTCGGTCTTCTTCTTCTTTTTCTTCTCTTTGGGCGTTAGCGGTCTGTCTTTCAATGAGGATTCCTTGGATTGCTCTCGGTCGTGCTTCTCGATTATGCTCTCCGAGCGGTCTTCGTCCGACTCGAGATCTCTGGACGATTTCTTGCCGAACATCGAGAAGATGCCGGCCTTTTTCACGGGGGTGACCTGCGGCCGCTCCTGGGGTTTATTAACGTTGTGCTGATCATCGGCCCAGCCGGCGAAGTTCATCTCGTTTTGGATCAGGTGCGCGGTTGCCAGTTTGACCTCGTTCGACACCTTACCGTCGGGCTTCTGCATGCGAATTTTGGCGCGGGGAACTTCGTAGGTGATCACTTCGGTCGTGGTCCGCTCGGGTTGCTTCGTGAACGGCTCGATCACGATGCGGAATTGCTCGTCTTCGATTACGGTCGGCTCGAAGGTGGTCGTCACCTTTTCGATCACGCGCCTCGTGCCCTGCTTTTTGGGGGTGGAGGTGCGCGCCGAGTCCTCGGTGATGGTCTCGATCGTGTCGGAGAGATCGAGCGGGGGGGCGACGCGTCGGGTTACGTCGGGCGGGTGATCGCTCTCGAGGGATTCGACGAAGGGAATGCTGTCGAGGTCCGAGTGCTCGAGTGGGGGGGTGGGGAGTTTGGGCTTCGTGGGGGATATGGGCGGTAGGCCCGGGGCGTCCTTCAGTTTCTTCTTTCGCTTTTCTTTCTTCTTCTTCTCCTTTTTGGGCAGCTTCTCCGACTCGGACGAGTCGGATTCGATCGACTTGCCCACGAAGGTTTTGAGCGTGCCGAAGAAGCCTTTCTTCGATTTCTTCTCGTCTTCCCTGCTAGAATCTCGACTGACCGACTTCGCCTTGTCGAGAAGTTTGCCTCGTTTCGGCACGTACGTGTCGGTTACTATTTTGTTTGTGATCTCGTGGTAGGGTTGCGGCGTCGACTCGTTTCGAATGAAAGCGTTAGTCTGCTCGATTGTCGGGTTTAGATTGTTCGTGAGTACGTCGTTGACGATCGATAAACCGGTGACGGGTTGAGTGTACATTATTTTGTATTGATCGAGGTCTTCTTGACTAGTTAAAGGTTTTGGGGTCGAGGTCGGTTTTCCTGTAAGAACATGCGACTCCAACAAGCATTCCTAACTACCTTAGCCTTGTCCTTAATTACCTTCACAAAAATATCCTTACTGCAGTGTCTCAACGTTAATGCAAAGAACACGAGTTAGTTCTCAAACTAACTAAATCGCACAAACTCCATGCAAACTTTTAAAACGTTACCTCGAGCTTCGATTTCTGACTGAGGAAGCCAATCGCAGTAGGCCTGGGGAAGGTTCGCGGAGGAGGAGGGGGGCGCGCTGTAGCAGGGGAAGAAGGGGCGGTTCGCGTACAGGTCAACCTTTTCGTCGCCGACTAAGACCGCTTTTGGGGACTCGCCGTAATCCGACTCGTCGAGCAGTTCCTCGTAGCTCCCGCTGATTGCATAGTTATACTGGAGGGGGAACTGCTTGGGAGTCACGCCGATCAGCCGAGGTCGCGGACTCGGCTCCTGAGACGGACGTATGAAAACACGCGGCAGTGTGAACACGGGCTTCTCCGAGCTGGAAACTTTGCGAGTCTGAGGCAAAGTGTTCGACTTTTCGCGAACGACAAAATCGCGCACGGAACAGACTTCGATTTCGCCTCGCCCATCCCCGTCGGCTGTCACAAGGAGCTTTACGTCGGCCTTAATAACCTCCCCATCATCGTCCCCTTCGACCTCGGTACTGCTGTCGCTCGACGAGTCGCTCGCGCGGTGATCCCCACGTTTCGCGTAAACCGTATTCGACGAGTCCTCGTCCTCCTCGGGAACTATGCTTAAATTACGATAGGTGCCCTCCCACCAAATGTCGTAGGGGGCGCTAGAGGTAAGGTCGTCGGGCTCGCCCTCGCTCGAGCTTTCGCCGGACGCGTACCTCGGCAATTGCTCACAATCGAGGAGAGCTTTCGCCTCGTCCTCCTCCACGTCTCGCAATAACCGATTGACGCTCAGCTCTAAGGAGTGAAGATCCGCCTCGGGAGGCTCATCGAACTGGATCAGATCCTCGCTTATCTGAATACTGTGCGTGGTTTCGTAACGCTTAGGAACTCGGATCGTTTTTTTAATGGGTACCTCTAACAACGCGTCGGTAGTGGGGACCAGCTCCAAAGTGTTCACGTACCGATCGTCCCCCTGGTCGAGCACGTCTAAATCTAACGCGAACATCCTCTCCTGCCGCTCAACCTCGACGAGCATCCGATCTAGCATCGCGTCGATCTGCGTGTACGACGCGAAGGGAGGTTCGGGATAGGGAGGGCTACCGCGATTTGGGTCAGTCAGCAGGACACTTTCGTACGATAGGCCCCTCGTTTCCGAATCTCGGGCGTCTGCATTAACATAATCATCTGTCAGTAAGAATATTTAAGCTTCTATCATATACTTCTTTGTATTTTTATCATTTTAGTTTTCGAGTTTACGCTAACGCTGGCCAATGATTGTGAATGAGAAATAAAAAAAGGAAAAACTTTTCGGCAAAGGTGATCAAAAAACGAATCTTGACAAAATTAGAAAAGTGAAGCGAAGCTAGCTTGCCATCATGTTAAGTAAGCCCACAGTTTTACAAAAAAAATAAACTCGGCACAAAGCGGTTATTTCTGTTTTTACTCGGCGCTCATTTAATGGGCCTACGATACTCTACTGGTCTTTCTTTAGGAATGACTAATGACTCGGGTTATTACAATGAAAGCTGTGGTCGATCTTCTTTCTTCGTTCTTCGAACCTAGTTTCATGCGCACAAGCCACTGATACTGAGATATGTGTACTTTTGGACGTTTAACGATCATGCACATGCAGTTTTTTTTTGTGTAATAGTGATTGGTGTTTTGTAAGTACACACTTATCATTCGGCATTCTCTGGCTTTCAACGGAAGCGCGTGATGTTAAGTGAAAACTCAGACAGCACCGGGTCTACTCCACTGACGCGCATGCGCGAGAAACGAGCATGCGCACCAGTGACCACGAACCGGTGCTGTATGTTGCTGCTGATAAAATTAAAGAAACAAACTCAGGATGATCAAAAACTGAAAGGATGATTATAATGGAGATGCTCCTGACAAAATTTCAATTTCCTATCCAGTTCATTTTGTTCGTACTACTCCATTACTTTCTGGCCACGATTTCGCAAGAGAGATTTTAAAAGATCCTACCTTTTCGTTCTGCGTCTACCGCTGGCTTTCCCTTGACAAAGACGGGCCCTCCAACAGATGGCTTTCCCGTGGCATCCCATTCTAGAAAACAGTTCCGTGTAAAATGTCTCCCGCACAATTAAAGAAACTAAACTAGCCTTTCGGTCATTCACACTCGGTACTTACCGGTATTAGTCGGATTAGTAAATCGGCAAGTGCCGAAAGGCCATTGGTCGATCGACAACAATGGCCGTTCAGCGCTTCCAAAACAGGCCCCACCTACCTTTAGCTCGGTACTCTCCGTAAACGGCGTCGTCGTCTAATTTATGCGCCTGAATGCTGTACCTGCGCCTCGTTTCGAATTTCTCCAACAGCTTGCCCACGAAACCGCTGTGTCTGTCACCTACGGGACCTAAACTGCGCCGGGGCTGATCGTGTATCAAAGTCGTATTGCCAACCAAATAAAACAAGTTTTCGGTAAACGGCACGGTGACATTAAAAGGTATCTCCCAATAAAGCACGGTCACATACTTGGTGCACTCGGAGTTGATGTTCACAACGAACTCGGTCGTGAAAATTTTGGCCTTTAACGCCTCGACCTTGTCCAGCTCTAATCTACAGCTAGCGTCAACTTTTTGCAGTTTACCTTTACAGCCTTTCGAACGAAACGGACCGGGACAGTCCTTCAGGTTCGCGCACGTCTTCTTCATCGAGACCAGCACGTTGTTATCGCTTAATATGTCGACGCTGAACTTCTTCTTGTTCACGCACGCGTGGTACTCATCGTCGGACCCGCCCGCTTCCTCCGTATCGGTGCAGACCTCGCGAAACGAACCCCCGCCCCCCTTCAGGTACATTACGGGCGCGTCGTCCGCGTCGGACACGTCCTCGGTATCCGTCGGCATCGGACTGACGTACTCGCGCGTCAACGAGATCCGCCGATTGACGCTCAATCGGGTTCGATCGGAGAAAGGCCCCATCCCTTCCTTGCTCAAAACCGTGTCGCCGCCCATTTCGCGCATCGAGATCGGGGTCGTGGACAGCGCGCGCAGCAGATCGACCTTCTCGTTCAGAAACTCCTCGTCCGACATGATCACGCTTTCCAAGTCCGTCGCGTCCTGGTCGCTCAAGAATAGGTCCTCGGTATCGGTCAACGGTTGGCGTGCCACCGTAAGCGACGACAGGTACTTGGGGCGTCCGACCACCACAATATCCTCGGTATCGGTGAGCTCCTCCAGGATTGTCGGCGAGATCGGTTTCAGGCTTCTGCGCCTGCGCATTCGAATACTTTCGGTGACGTCGTCGAACGCGCCGTCAAAAATGGAGAGCTCGGGCGTGGGGCCTCGGCTCAGCGCCTCGGCGAAGAGTAGCGCGTCCGTGTCCGACAGGCACTCCTCGTCGGTTTCGCCGGCGCAATCCAAGCGAAACTCCGACCTGTAGTCGTCATCAATCGGGGTGATGGTAACGATGGGTCGATTGCGTGTGTCGCGCACCGTTATCAGCTTCCTGTACGGCTTCGGTAAGGCCACCTCCGGCAGGGGCTCAATGTGATAAGACGCGTCCGGGTCGCTGACCGCCTCCTCGTCCGTACTGTTCCCTCGCTTACCCCTCTTTACTATCGCGACCGGTATCTCAACACCGCCGCTATCCTCATTTGAATCGAGCCTCTCCACATCCGTCAGCCCCTCCTCAACGGGCTGCGGGGCGGACAACGCCTCCCCAAACTTTATGTTGTAATCACTATCCTCGCGTGGTTGCCTGCGCCGCCTCACTTTGCGCCTCTGCACCACCTTCACTTCGCCATCACTGTCAGACTCGTCAACGATCTCTCGCCTCGACACGCGCACCTTATCGGAAATTCGCGTAGCCTCCAGAAGATCATCGGGTACCGTCGACTCCTCCACGACGCTAAACTCCTCGTCGGACGCCCCGCAGTCTTCGACATCAGTCGTGCCCTGCTGCATCTCAAAATAATCGAGTCGCGCCCGCGGTTGCGCCTCGGTAACCGTCGACGACTGCGTGTGCAACTTCCTTCTGCCCTTACCGTTCCGCGTCCGAATCTTGTGCGTCTCCTTGCACTCCCCCGGATCCAAGTCGAGATCGTCGATCGACACCGGCCTCTCGTACGGTACAATTTCGACCTCGTCCTCGTCGCCCGAACCCTCCACGTCCTCGGTATCGGTCACGGCCCCCTCGCCCAGCTTAATCTTCAACTTATTTCGCGACCTCTCCACGCGTCGCCTCCTGTGATCGTCGAGCTCGATCGTTTCGACATCGGTCAACGCGTCGGCCAGCGTCGAATAGTTGTGGTCGTCGTCCTCCTCGGCCTCGGGGGTTATCGCGATTATCGGTACCTTAAGCGCCATCGCTGGAAATCTAAGTGGGAATTAGACCTTTGCACAAAATCATCGCCATGTACCTTTCGCCCCACGACTTACCTCCGTGACACCGCTCCACTAAACCTAGTCTACAACTACCTACTACAGTTCGGGCATTGCTCTACTTCTATAACTCATCGGGAGTTCGACAAGCCATGCGGCGGGAGGGGGGCAACGCAGATGTCGTGTTACCTGTTTCGTCTCGCACTTTCTCATCTTTGCACTGCGACATTAATAGCTTGCGCGGTAAGGCGATGCACGAATCCTCTTCGGAGTACATGACCAGATCGGAGACTCGGTGCTTTCTTTCGTGAATAGACTCTAGAGATCGTTTCGACTTCGGCGACGTGGGCGAGATCGACTTTAGGCGGCCGTTCGCGTCGGAGCTCATATCGTGATCGGAAAGCGAGCTCGGCAACGCTACGGATTCGGATAAGCTCGAATCGGTCGTGTCGATGAGCGATAACTCACATTCGGCCTTGATGCCGGACACCCGTCTCAAATTTTCGCCGGGCTGCTTGTAAATCACCTCGATCGAGCCGCTCATGTCGTGCGTTCTCTTGAACACCTCCGAGGTGATCACCTGAGTGCCGTTGATCGATCTAACGCGCCGAATCGGACTGCCCGGCAATGAGGTGGGGGTGATGCTCCGCTCGAGTATCTGATGCTCGACGGGCTTATCCAAGTGGGAACTAGGAATAACGGACTGGCTACGTTCTCGGTCGGATACATGGACGGTTTGGTAAAATTCTGACGGTTTACTGGGCGGCACTTCCTTTCTCAATTGATCGACGGGGGTGGCACGGCGGATTTTGGTCGGGGAAGGGGACTCTCTTCGGATGTACTCGGAATCGGTCACGTGGCGAGGTTGCGATTTTTTAACTTTCGGCGTTTCGACTCTCTGAACGGTTGTTTCCACGGTCTTCGACGCGACGGTCCTCCTCGAAATGTGCATTTTTGCCGTTTTTATGTCCTCCTTTAGAGCACCAGAAACAGCTTCCATCTTCTTCTCCGCCTTTTTCCCGCCGACACTTTTCGCCTTTGGGACCTCGGCTTTCTCCAACTTTGTCTTAACCATTTTCTTTTTCTCATTAATATTTTCAGTCTCCGACTTGTCCTTGGCCTTCCTCTTCTCAATCGATGACGTCATCTTAATATTCAACATCTCCTTGGTGCGTTTCTGCACTTCGGGCCTGTCGATTTTTAAATCGCGCGACAACGTCGACTGCATATATCCCTTGATTTGTTTCTTCTGCACAACGGTCTCTTGACTTGTCGTAGCAACTTCGCGTTTTCTCACCGAGGTGGTCTCAGTCAAAGTCACTTTACTCACCGACTTCTTAGAGTACCTAGGTATCTGTGACTCAGTCTTCGGCTTGGAATCCTCCGACTTGCCGGGTTTCGGGGCGACTTTCTTTTTCTCATCCGAAACCGCTTTACTTCGAGCTTGACGATCAGGCGAAGGGGTCTCGACTTTCTTCATTGTCGCCTTAATCGCCTTAGGAGGGGGAGTCGCCTTCTGCTTCATCGCTACAGGTTTCGGACGTTTAGGAGTCGCGGTGACCGGCTTCGGGTGGACAGTTATCTCCAGAACGTCCCCATTCATAACAATATCGCTCGCGTCCACCTTAAACGATGAAGGAACTTGACTCTTTTCAATGATGGATTCACCACGCGACTCGCTTCCGTCGGAGAACGGAGAAATACCTTGAGCCAGAGGTGATTTGGCTTTCTCATGTGAGTCAGTTTCCGAGTGCTCGACGTCCGACTCGGAATACTTCGTAGAACCGCTCACGTGCATCGAGCTCAACTGCGAAACCTCATCAGAATCCAAAGATTCGCGCTTGCTGAAGTAATCGTCCAAATCGAAGTCTTTCGGATGCCTCGAATCGGAATCGACCTTGGTTTTCTCGTCGTCAACCAAGAAATGTGGAGATTTAACGCTAACTTGTGAAGTGATGTCGGTAATGCTCGAACTAAGCTCTGGAGTCACCTTCGCAGATACTGGCGTAACATCGACCACATCTTCCTTTTGCACCTCATCCGAGGAAATCGGCAGCGGATCCACCTTAGCAATTGCCTCAGAATCCTCCTTGATATCGTACAATTGGTCACTAGACACTGACCGTAAAATAGTCATCAGCTGACCTTCGGGTGTTGGAGTTAGATCAGGCTTCATCTGTCTAACGTCCGCTCGAATTTGCTTGGTCGCCTCAAGTACCTCGGATATTACGCTAACCACGTTGGTCTCGTGTAGCAAATCAGAAATGAAAAGATCCCCTTTCTTAGTCTCAAATGGAGGTTTAGATTCAGAAACTGTCGATTTAGTGTCTGGAGGCAGATCCGATGGTAAAGCAATGGTTGACACCAGTTGAGTGTGAGAAAGTACAGCTTCTCGTACAAGGAGAGGGACCTCAAAAGACTCGGTGCAAGTAGGCAAAGTTTCATCAACCGGCTTAACCTCATGACCAGCAAAAGAGGTAGGTTTCAAATCAGCTTTCTCGAGTTCCTCGGCTGTTGTCGGTTTCTTAACCTCCTCAACTGAGGTCTTTAATTTCGTAATATCCTCAGGTACCTCCTCTTCATGTTCGGGTTTTTCATCTTTTGGACGAGTGACCTTCTCGTCGACTACTGTCACCTTTTCTACAGTAACCTTCTTTACCTCGTGATCCACGGGAGACGTAGGTTTCGATTTGGGGTCTTTAGGTTTAAGTTCGTCAATAAGTTTGTCGGGTTTGAGATCGTCAGGTTTCAGTGGTAGTTTCTCAACTTTATCAACAGGCGACTTTGGTTTCTCGTGTTCTTCTGGTGTTTTCGGTTTCTTCGCCTCTTCTTCTGGGGTCTTTACTTTGGTAATATCCTCAGGGATCTCCTCTTCATGTTCGGGTTTTTCGTCTTTTGGACGAGTGACCTTCTCGTCGACTACTGTCACCTTTTCTACAGTAACCTTCTTTACCTCGTGATCCACGGGAGACGTAGGTTTCGATTTGGGTTCTTTAGGTTTAAGTTCGTCAATAAGTTTGTCGGGTTTGAGATCGTCAGGTTTCAGTGGTAGTTTCTCAATGGGTTTTACTTTATCAACAGGCGACTTTGGTTTCTCGTGTTCTTCTGGTGTTTTCGGTTTCTTCGCCTCTTCTTCTGGGGTCTTTACTTTGGTAATATCCTCAGGTAACTCCTCCTCATGTTCGGGTTTTTCGTCTTTTGGACGAGTGACCTTCTCGTCCACTACTGTCACCTTTTCTACAGTAACCTTCTTTACCTCGTGATCCACGGGAGACGTAGGTTTCGATTTGGGTTCTTTAGGTTTAAGTTCGTCAATAAGTTTGTCGGGTTTGAGATCGTCAGGTTTGACAGGTAGTTTCTCAATGGGTTTTACTTTATCAACAGGCGACTTTGGTTTCTCGTGTTCTTCTGGTGTTTTCGGTTTCTTCGCCTCTTCTTCTGGGGTCTTTACTTTGGTAATATCCTCAGGGATCTCCTCTTCATGTTCGGGTTTTTCGTCTTTTGGACGAGTGACCTTCTCGTCGACTACTGTCACCTTTTCTACAGTAACCTTCTTTACCTCGTGATCCACGGGAGACGTAGGTTTCGATTTGGGTTCTTTAGGTTTAAGTTCGTCAATAAGTTTGTCGGGTTTGAGATCGTCAGGTTTGACAGGTAGTTTCTCAACGAGCTTATCTTTATCTGCGGGTGGTTTTTCTTCTGTTTGACGATCAAGTGGAGTTAATGTTAGCTCTTTGGGTTTTTCTTCTTTGTCAACGATGCGCATCTGTTCCTCCTCCATCAATATATATTCAAACAATTCTTTTTCCGTTAGCGTTTGGGTTTGGGTGTATACTTTGGTTTCATGTGTCACGCCTGTTTGTACACTTCCGTTAGCGACGATTTCCTTCACGAATTGTGGCTCTTGTACCTCCTCTCGCAACCAACCTTCCGTTGCCATTTCTGTTGGAATTGTATCGTTAATTGTCGATGGTATCGCCTCGTCCAATTTAGCAACAAGGCAAACGATGTCTTCGGGGGTAACTTCGTGTTCGAGTTCAAATTTGTCGTGACATATCTCTGGACAAGGCTCGGCGTGCCCGCACGGGTGGTGGTAGTTTATTGTGACCTTAGTACACATCGGTTCGACGCAGATGCTACCTGTGACCGCTTGAGTCTCTTTACTCGGCCGTTTTTCTTCTTCGTCCAAGCCTGCTTGTGCCATTTTCTCGATCTCGAGCATGCACTTCTGCAGTTCCAGTTCGGAAAGTTCCCTGCAAACGGGAGCCTTAGGACCCTCGAGTGCGGCCACGCTTTTTTTGTGCACCTTCTTCGGCGTGCTCTCCAGGGATGACCGGCTGATCATTTCCTCAAACATCATCTTGGCGTCTCGAACCGTTTTAAATTCGGACTCGTCGACCTTCTCCTCTCGCGCGACCACCTGCTCAACCGTCTCCGCCTTTACAGTCTTCGGCCTGGTCGGCGCTCTTCTGTGCGTGGAGCTCTCATCCGCGCTATCCTCCTGATCGCTCGATTTTGAAAAGATCCTCTGTAGCTCGGCTATCTTCGGCCCGATGTGCTTCGCGTACGAGTGCGCCCGCGACGTCTCCTCGGAGGAGACCTCGGGTATGTCGACGCGCTCGAAATCGGACACGTCCTCGAGTTGGGCGAGCGACTCGAGCGAGCCGCGCAGTCCCTCCTCCTCCTTTATGCTCGAGATCTCGTCCTCGGAATCGACGATGTCGCGCTTGCGACGGATGAACTCGAGATGCGTCGGGGACTTGGTGATCTGCTCCTCGATCAGTCGTATCTTCGATTTGACGTCGACGGGAGGCGGCGGGAGTGCGCTATCGTCGGGGCGCGTCGGACTACTGGACGCGTCCTTCGTTTCGATCTTGTCGGTGAGCGTCGCCGCCTCGGAGGTGTCGATGGGAAAGTCTACGGGACTCGTGCCCGTGTCGGTGTAGTGGGTGATATCGTCGACGTTAACGTTTGCGATTTCGTCCGCCTGGATCGGGCTGAGGCCGGCGTCGGTCAGTTCGTTTTCCTCCTGCTCGATCGTGTCGGATATGAAACCGGTGGTCGGAGGGCCGAAAGGTTGGTGTATTGGGCTGGTGATCGTATCGGTGGTTCCTCGTGTGAGCGAGATGCCGGTGTCTGTGATGTGATGCGAGATGCTCGCGTCCGAGTCGGGGGAGTCGTCGAGAGGTTCGGTTGTTGTCTCGTAAGTGTACACTTGCCGCGTTCCGCTGAAGTTGACAGTCTCCTCTTTCTTCTTAAAGGGAGTGTCGGTGATGTTTTCAGTCGGGGCGATTATGTATTCGGTGTGTTTTTTGATGGGGGATGTCATCACGAGCGTCTGTTCAGATTCGGATAGCTTGGAGTCCGTGGTGCCGGCGCTCGCCGTCGTGCCTACGTCGACTCGTTCGGAGGTTTCCATTCCGGAACTGTCACGTCGCGTGGTCGTGACGGAAATGTGCGATTGGGACTTGATCGATATTTCGACGTCTTTCGTTCCGTACAGGGTCAGTCGGTTTTCGGCCATTGCCGAAGCTTCGCGAGTGCGTACCTCTTTGTGACCGATCACAAGTTCGAGAGTGGGGGCGAGGTGTTTGGTCGAGGTTATGGGGGAAGGGAAGGGTTTGTCCATGGGCGATGTGCCCCTTGTTTGTGTCGTAATTTCTGTAGCACCAGGTATAGGAACTTGCTTAGTGTGACCGTGCGTGGACACGAACGTGTAGGTCTCCTCAGCTTTGGGCCCACTTATTTCGGTGATTTCGGTATTTTCCGTTTTATAAATCACAGATTGATCATAAATATTATTGGCTTTGGTGAGGTCCACCACCTTCCTGGTGATGGCGACGTCACCATTCGCTAGATTGGCGTGCGTGGTGTGCGCACCTTCGGGTGTCGCCTTAAACGTAATCTTCGTCTTCTTTTCATCGTCCGGCCGCACTTTCTCTTTACCAGCACCGCCATGCAGTCTTTCTACTCTCCTCGCCTCTTTACGTTCCCAGTCTTCTGATCTCTTAGAGTCTTTAGCACCTTTTTCCTCAGGTGAAATCACACTTCTAATTTGTAATAAGGAAGGCCGCTCAGGATCACATTCAATTATTTTATAACTATCTAAATCTACACGTACAACGCCAGTTAGATCGGAATAATCCACCGGCTTGGAAGGCAATAGTTTTGAGGTAGCTTCGTCCGTACCCATCCTGTACGGGGTAACGGCGTCGGTGTCGAAGTCTTCGGTGGACGCCAAGCGTTTACGCTCGCCCAAAAATAATTTCGCTTGGTGCTGGTAGTATTGGCGAGCGTCGTCGAAGGCGGTGACGCCTTGCTGCTCGATAGCGTCGTAGTCAACGTGTGGGTAGTCGCCGAGGTAGGAGGCACCAGTGTCTTCGCCGGGCGTCGGCGTTTCCAGCAGACACTGATCCTCGTGGAAACCGTCAGTGTCCAAGGAGTCGTCGTCATCCTGAGGAGACGCGCTGGCTGTTGACGTAAGAGGAACATCGGGATCAGGATTAAGTGACAGCAATATCGTGTGTTTTGAGTGTGTATAACGCGTTGCCAATTAAAGTTCAGAAAATAAATCACAAGAGGGGGTTGCACCACTCTACTCAGCACTCCCTCAAGATGAACTATGTATGAATGTCGTGGATGAGGGGGTTGGGATTATGGAGTGATGGAAGTCGACAGCCACTTATAATCTCATAAAGCCATTTCCTTTTAAGCATCTACTTGTATATAATAATAGCCTATGAGCGGTACCCAAGAACAAACGAAAAAACTCGAAGGAAAATAAATTGAAGCGAAAAACTAATGTACAAACAAAACGCAACCCCAATTTACTTTCCAAGGAGTCAATTTTGAGACTGACCTTTATATAGCCTTTGCTATATGATGCCCAATGACCAAGAGAGACTCCCTAAAAATTCCACCCTCGCCCACTAGTCCGTCGGTTTCGATTGAGAACGAAAGGGACGTAAAAGTGGGCCTCATGCATACATTTTCATCGTTTCGCTTTTCTCAATAATGGAGTTTGCAATACGGTTCACCAAGCCGCTGGGCGTTACCAAAACTATCGTAAGCGTGGATGGGGGGAAGATTGTGGTGATTCAGTGAAATGATCCAGGGGTTTAATGTTTAGTGTTTTTTTTTTAATAAAAGAAGGTTTCACTCTCACATCACAAGCACAGCGAGGGATGAAAGTATGTACAATATGGGCATGCTGGTGTAAAAATTACAGTGTCGTTGAAGGGCTCTGGTTTCGGATTCACCAATATTACAGTTGACCGGCTAAGCCATACCAAGCAAACTAATTTATTTCTTTACTTTACCACCCTCAAAAAACCGCCCTCCCCCAAAGGTAAAGAGGAGTAAAATTATAATTTCTACACCTACGTCTTGTACAATACACATTATGTAGAATTAGAGGTTATGTGGAAGAAACATAGATATAGATGTAAGGAATCCCCCCCCCCCACTTGAAAAGAGACAGCGTTTTCAATTTCAGTGGGAGAAATCGGTCGAGGAGTTTGCGGACTATCATAGAATCATCTTTTCCTAGGGGGAATTCGACCCCCCCCCCTCCCATGACAGCTTAATATTAGTGCCGAGAGCTTTTACACATTCGCCCGTTCTGGAAGAGAATTTCACCGAGGGGCTAGGGACACACCATTGCATTTTCGATTCTGTCTCTCTCCTGCACTACGTTCTTCTCTTTCTATCGCATCTCTGAGGAGATGTAGGCACCACAGACCCACGGCGAAGTTCTCTTTCACCACCTGCGAATCCTTTTTTTCTCCCCCCCCCCCCCCCCGTATCAATTTTCTACCAAAACGTTTACAGGCTTTACTACCCCTATGATCATGTTTAAAGGAAAACCACGGAATTATCATTTCCTAGGGGGTGTTCGATAGCACCCTCCTCTCCGGACAGAGCAATGGTTTGTGTTAACTTTTGGAAGCACGTATCACGGGGGGGGGGGGGCACAAGAAATAGAGAGCTATCACAAATTGTAGAAGAGAACTTCGCCGTGAGACTGTGGAATACCCGTTGAATTTCCCTTTGTATTACGGTTTCTCCTTCAATCGCACATTTACATCAGCCCCTCGGCAAAGTTCTCTTCTAAAATCCTCTTCCATTCTTTCCTGCCCCCCCCCCTCCGTTCCCATTTTTCACCAAAACTTTTACGGTCTTCACTACCCTTACAATAAACCACCGAATCTTTTTCCCAGAGGTATTTAATTACCCTACCCCTATGATCATGTTTGAAGGAAAACCTCCGACACCTCCCCCTCCACCCCGACAGGATAATGGTAGTGCTCAGTGTTGTATACAATTTTGAAAAAAAACGTATCACCGGGGGGTCTGGGGAAAAAAAAAGAGAATTCCCAGATTCTGGAAGAGAACTTCGCCGAGGAGCTGTGGGACACCATTGCATTTTCGATTCTGTTCCCCTCATGTACTACGTCCTACGAGAGGGGAGAAGTTCTCTTCCAGAATCTAAGAATCCTTTTCCTTTCCTGGGTGTTATTCCATACCCCCCAGACCCTCCGGCACTAATTTTCTACCAAAAGAGTTACGGTCTACTACCCTTACGGTCATATAGCAAAACCAACGTATCATCTTCCCCTAGAGGATATTCGATAGGGGAAGAAGAAATTGATTCGCAGATTCTATCGGAGAACTTCGCCGAGGAGTTGGTAGGCAACATTGAATTTTCCATTTTGCCCCCTTTTGTATTACTTCCATCGCAGCTTTGTTCCCTGAAGGGATGTAGGCACCACAGCCCCTCGGCAAAGTTCTCCAGAATCTGCGAATCCTCTTCCTTCCTTTTCTGGGGGGATTCCATACCCCCCCCCCCCCCCCCCCCAGTAGTAAATTTTATGCCAAAACCCTTACAGCCTTCTTTCCCTTATAATCATATTTGAAGGAAAACCACCTAATCATCTACTATTAGGGGACCTTCACAGATTTTAGTAAGAGTCTAGCATCAGGGGGTCGAGGGGGTATGGAATACCCCCCAGAAAAGAGAGACGATTTGCAAGTTCTGAAAGAAAACCTCGCCGAGGGGCTGTGGGACACCATTGCAGTTTCCATCCTTCGGCGAAGGTCTCTTCCAGAACCTGCGATACCTCTTCCCTTTTTCCTGGGGGGTATTCCATACCCCCAAACTATCGGGTACTACAATTTCTACCAAAACGTTTACAGCCCTTACTGCCCTTATGATCATGTCTGATGGAGAACGACCGAATCATCGTTTCCTAGCGGGTATTGGATAGCAACCCCCCCCCCCCCCCCTCCACTGACAAGATAACGTTAGTGATGGAGGCTTCCATACACCTTGAGAAGAATGTGGTACCGGAGGCTCTTGGTGCTACGGAATACCCCTCTAGACATGAGATTCCAAAAGGTCTGGAAGAGAACTTCACCGAGGTGCTGCGGGACACCATTGCATTTTCGACTTTGTCTCGCTTCTTACTGTTTTCCTCCACCATCGCATATTTGTTTCCCGAGGGGATCTAGGGGCATCACAGCCCCTCGGTGAAGATCTCTTCCAGAACCTGCGAATCCTGTTCCTTTCACCTTGGAGGGTATTCAATAACGCTTAGACCCCTCTCCCCCTCCTATCGGTACTAATGTTGTACCAAAACGTTTATAGCTTTTACTACCCTTATGAGTATGGAATACCCCCCCAGGAGAAAAAGAGAATAGAAGTTTTGGAAAAGAACTTCGCAGAGGAGTTGTAGGATACCAATTGAATTTCCCTTCCTGTACTACGTTTTCCTGCTTTCATCACATTGTTGTTTCCTGAGGGGATGTAGGCAAGACGGCTCCTTGGCGAAGTTCTCTTCCAAAATGTGTGAATCTTCTTCCTTTCTTTCCTGGGGAGTATTCCATATGCCCCAGACCTCCCAGAAAAAAGAAGAGGATTCGCAGGTCCTAACGGCGGACTTCACCGAGGGGATATGGAAAGCCATTGAATTTGAAGTTCTCTTCCAGAATCTGTGCATCCTCTACCTTTCTTTCCTGGGGGGAGGGGGAGCCCAACGGTACTAATTTTCTACCAAAACGCCTTTACTACCCTTATGACCATGTTTCAAAGGAACCCGCCAAATCATCTTTTCCTAGGGGTACTCGACTGCATCCCCCTCTGATAGGATAATGTTAGGGCTTCACACATTTTGGAAAGAATGTGGGGCCGGGAAGTCTGGGAGGTATGGACCCCCCAGCAAAGAGGGACGATTCGCAAGTTCTGGAAGAGAACTTCGCCGAAGGGACTTTTTTCTATGGCATCGTTGTGTCCTGAGAGAATAAGGACACCACAGCCCCTCGCCGAAGTTTTCTTCCAGAACTTGCGGATCCTCTTCCTTTCTTTCCTGGGGGGTATTCCATACCGCCCAGACCTCCCGGTACTACATTTTCTATCACGCTGTAAACATTTTGGGAACAATGTAACACCGGAGGATCTGGAATACCACCAGAGTTGAAAAGTTCAAAAAAGCTTATGGAGAAACCAGTGAATATTAGTGATACCAAAAACCAGGAAGCCAAGGAAAGAAAAGTGATAGAGGAGCTGGAGGTGGTGAAAAAAATCCAGGCAGTACTGAAAAAAGAGAAGAACGGATAATCCAGCTTTGTGGAGGGCTGTTTCATGGCCATAACTTTGCAAAAGGTCTCTTTTCAGAACTATTCCATATTTTTAGCGTGATTTTTTTAAACTTTCCCCCGTCATAATTACAAGAGAGTTATCGTAATTGGTTTTTGAAACTTCTGTCCCATTTTTGGGTCAACTGTAATATATACGTCAATCCGACTTCAGCGACATAAAATCAAAATGGAAAAGCGTAGGCGCATTCGACCAAAACTACCTTCGAAAAAAAAGCGTGTGCAAAAATCAAAACAAAAATGGTGCCACTATTAAGCGGTAGGCGATATCCTCATCAGACCAATGAAAATATCGCTCCGGAATGATTTATTTTCTGTTAGTTTTTCAGAGCGAGAGTTAAGAGACACTTTTTCGTTATTGCGTAAGCGTTTTTAGCAACATCGAGAACGTTAAGTGTGAGTTGTTTTGGGTTAGTGATGCAAAAACTGGCTCATTTTTGGGATATTACAAAAGGACGGTCAAGATCTTTGTTTTCTCTCTCCTCTATCGTCAGTGCCGCGTCGTTCTAATCTAACTTGTTGTACCGGTTGCAAACCCCATCAGAAAAATGTGGCATATCATTTTCAAGGTACATGGCGATTTATGGTCCAAAAGTGAGGGTAGGGTACTCACCAGTGAATCGCCTTATAAAAAGTACACCGCACGCACGTAAAATCGCGACGATACTAGCACTGAACAGGTTTTAATTCCACAAATGAAACATAATCGAATTAGGAAGCCATACGATACGAAGAAAAAGATCGTCACGCGTTAGAAATACGAGACAACAACAATAATAATGCATTACGTCGGTGTAAAGTTATTCAAGACTTATAAATAAACGATTACGAGGCGCGATAGACACTTGAGGCGATTCAGGCGAAAATTTTCGAAAAATCGCCGAAGCGTTCCGCAAGGCCGAATGACTTCATAGAGAAAAGGCGAATTTCAACGAAATCGAGCGCACTTGAAAGGTTTTCGACCTTCGAGGATATGCCACATCTTTTTCGTGCCGGAAATGCGTTTTCGAAAAAAAACAACGAATTTCGGGCACGCGTCTCATTAAAGCCTTAGTGAGAATGCAAGAAAGAAAGGGCAAAAAATCCTACCTTGGATTGTGGCTGCCTGTTCGCGTACTATGAAATCTGCAGGGCTCGGGGGTGGCGTCTTCGATAACTTCGGCGAGTTCGGATCTGAAAGAGAAAATTTATTTTATTATTAAATAGACTAATCAAATAAGTGGTCTATGGCAGCTCCTTAATCGATAATTAAATTCGATTAGTCTAATCGCACGTGCAAGGAAAATGCTTAGAGCATGTAGAGCACTCATACACTTTTCGAGGGAGAATTTTTATCTATTTTTTCTGAGGGTAGTCGCTACTACATACATCCCTAAAACTTTTAGAGCAACCCGCACTCTTTACAGTCATTTACGACAAAAGATCTTCGGCTCTTTCAGGGGTATACGTCTCCCCAAAAACAACTAAAACCCTCAGAATGTTCGTAATCATTTTTGAACAAAGATCTTCGGCTCCCTCGGGGGTATTCTATACCCCCCAGAGTTGTATTCTCCCCAAAAGAAAACTAAAACCCTCCGAATTCTCGAGATCGTTTTTTACAGAAGATCTTCGGCATACTGGGATGTATTCCATAGCCCCCAGACCCCCCGGTGTTCTATTCTCCCCAAAAGAAAACTAAAACCCTCCAAATTCTCGAGGTCGTTTTTTACAGAAGATCTTCTGCATACTGGGAGGTATTCCATAGCCCCCAGACCCCCCGGTGTTCTATTCTCCCCAAAAGAAAACTAAAACCCTCCAAATTCTCGAGGTCGTTTTTTACAGAAGATCTTCTGCATACTGGGAGGTATTCCATAGCCCCCAGACCCCCCGGTGTTCTATTCTCCCCAAAAGAAAACTAAAACCCTCCAAATTCTCGAGGTCGTTTTTTACAGAAGATCTTCTGCATACTGGGAGGTATTCCATAGCCCCCAGACCCCCGGTGTTCTATTCTCCCCAAAAGAAAACTAAAACCCTCCGAATTCTCGAGATGGTTTTTGTAGAAGATCTTCTGCTCCCTGGGGGTATTACCCTCCCAGACCTCCCGGTGTTATATTCTCCCCAAAAACAACTAAAACCCTACAAATTCTCGAGGTCGTTTTTTACAGAAGATCTTCGGCATACTGGGAGGAATTCCATAGCCCCCAGACCCCCCGGTGTTCTATTCTCCCCAAAAGAAAACTAAAACCCTCCGAATTCTCGAGATGGTTTTTGTAGAAGATCTTCTGCTCCCTGGGGGTATTACCCTCCCAGACCTCCCGATGTTATATTCTCCCCAAAAACAACTAAAACCCTACGAATTCTCGAGGTCGTTTTTTACAGAAGATCTTCGGCTCCCTGGGGGTAAAACCCTCCGAATTCTCGAGATGGTTTTTGTTAGAAGATCTTCTGCTCCCTGGGGGTATTACCCTCCCAGACCTCCCGATGTTATATTCTCCCCAAAAACAACTAAAACCCTACGAATTCTCGAGGTCGTTTTTTACAGAAGATCTTCGGCATACTGGGAGGTATTCCATAGCCCCCAGACCCCCCGGTGTTCTATTCTCCCCAAAAGAAAACTAAAACCCTCCGAATTCTCGAGATGGTTTTTGTAGAAGATCTTCTGCTCCCTGGGGGTATTACCCTCCCAGACCTCCCGGTGTTATATTCTCCCCAAAAACAACTAAAACCCTACAAATTCTCGAGGTCGTTTTTTACAGAAGATCTTCGGCTCCCTGGGGGTAAAACCCTCCGAATTCTCGAGATGGTTTTTGTAGAAGATCTTCTGCTCCCTGGGGGTATTACCCTCCCAGACCTCCCGGTGTTATATTCTCCCCAAAAACAACTAAAACCCTACGAATTCTCGAGGTCGTTTTTTACAGAAGATCTTCGGCTCCCTGGGAGGTACTCCATAACCCCCAGTGTTCTATTCTCCCCAAAAACACTTAAAACCCTCAGAATTTTCGTAATCATTTTTGACAAAAGATCTTCGACTCTCTCGGGGGTATTCAACACCACCAGAGTTATATTCTCCCCAAAAAACAACTAAAACCCTCCGAACTCTAGAGATCATTTTTGAAAATACCTTCAGGTCCCAGGAGAATACAAATCTGTGTCCTGAGGAGGTGTAGTCACCACAGCCCATCGGCCAAGCTCTTTTCTGGAACCTGCGAATCCACTTCCTTTTTTTCTGGCCACTCTTGTGGTCATTTTGGACAAAAGACTCTCTAAAAGGTATTCCATACCCCTCAGACTCCCCGATGTTCTATTCTCCCCAAAAGACAACCAAAACCCTGCGAATTCTCGTGGTCTTTTTGACAACAGCTCACCCCGTGATATTGTGATCTTCACAAAAACAACTTAGATCCTCCGAGCTCTCGTAGTCCTTTTTGACGAAAGACTTTGGGCTCCCTGGGGGGTATTCCATACCCCCCCAGGCCCCCCGGTGATGTGTACTCCCCTTAAGATATTCACAGTTTTCAGTGTCATTATTTTTTATGAAAACCACCGAAGCTTTTTTTCCTGGGGGAGTTTGGTATGGAGTGTCCCACCGAACATAATCGCCACATATATTGATAGTTCTATACGTTTCGAAACGAGAACGTACCATCGGGGGGTTTGGGGAGTATGGAATGCTCCCTAGGAAAACGAGATTTGATATATCCTCAATGATCATCCCCACCCCAATAGTGACGGTCCTCGATACTTGTCATCATCAATCTTGAGAAATAGTCATCGAAGTATCTTTTGCCTGGGAGTCCATACCCCCCCCCCAGACCCCCGGTGTTCTATTCTCCCCAAAAACAACTAAAACCCTCCAAATTCTCGAGGTCGTTTTTTACAGATCTTCGGTATACTGGGAGGTATTCCATACCCCTCAGACCCCCCGGTGTTCTATTCTCCCCAAAAGAAAACTAAAACCCTCCGAATTCTCGAGATGGTTTTTGTAGAAGATCTTCTGCTCCCTGGGGGTATTACTCTTCGAGACCTCCCGGTGTTATATTCTCCCCAAAAACAACTAAAACCTACGAATTCTAGAGCTCGTTTTTTACAGAAGATCTTCGGCTCCCTGGGAGGTACTCCATAACCCCCAGTGTTCTATTCTCCCCAAAAACACTTAAATTTTCGTAATCATTTTCGACCAAAAGATCTTCGGCTCTCTCGAAGGTATTCGACACCCCCTGAGTTATATTCTCCCCAAAAGACAACTAACACCCTGCGAACTATCGTAATTTTTGACAACAGATCCCCCCCCCCCCCCCGGTCCCGGTGTTATATTCTCCCCAAATATATCTGAGACCTTCCGAACTCTCGTAGTCATTTTTGACAAAAGATCTTCAGCTCCCTAGTACCCCCAGAGTTGTATTCTCCCCAAAAGAAAACTAAAACCCTCCGAATTCCCGAGGTCGTTTTTTTACTCGTTTTTATAGAAGATCTTCGGCTCCCTGGGGGGTATTTCATACACCCCCAGATCCCCAGGTGTTCAAAAACAACTAAAACGCTCAGAATTTTCGTAATCATTTTTGACAAAAGATCTTCGACTCTCTCGGGGGTATTCGACACCCCCCAAAGTTATATTCTCCCCAAAAGACAACTAAAACCCTGCGAACTCTCGTGGTCTTTTTGACAGCAGCTCACCCCGCGGTATTGTGACCTCCGCAAAAACTACTTAGATCCTCCGAGCTCTCATAGTCATTTTTGACAAAAGAACTTCGGCTCCCTAGGGGGTATTCCATACCTCCCAGACCCACCGGTGTTATATTTTCCCCAAAAACAACAGAGACCTCCCCCAAATTCTCGAGGTCATTTTTGACAAAAGATCTTCGACTCCCTGGGGGGTATTCATACCGGCGCTATATTCTCCCCAAAAAGCAACTAAAACCCTTCGAATTTGAGGTCATTTTTAAAAAGCTCCCTGGGGGGTACAATTCTGTGTCCTGAGGAGGATAGTCACAACAGCCCATCGGTGAAGCTCTTTTCTGGAACCTGCGAATCATTTTGGACAAAAGATCTTAGACTCCCTAGGAGGTATTCCATACCCCCCAGGTGTTGTATTTCCCAGAAAAACAACTAAAACCCTCCGAACTCTCGAGGGCATTTTTGACAAAAGATCTTCGGCTCCCTGGAGAGTATGACCCTGACCCACGGTGTTATATTCGCCCGAAAAACAACTGAACAGTGTCGTGGCCATTTTTTTACGAAAGACCATCGACTTTTCATTACTTGAGGGATACGGCCAGACCCATAAGTACTACATCCTCCCCAAAGACAACTAATACCCTCCGAACTCTCGTAGTACTAAGAGGATTCGCAGGTTCTGTTGGAGGTCTTCGCCGAGGGGTTGTGGGACACCATTGAATTTTCGATTCTGACACCCCTCCCCCTACGTTTTCTACAAAAACGTCTACAGCTTTCACTACCCTTATGATCATGTTTGAAAGACAACCACCAAATCATTCTTTCTTAGGGGGTATTCAATAGCACCTCCTCTGACAGTGACAGGATAATGGTAGTGCTGAGGGCTTCCATTCGATCCCCCTTCTGCACTACGTTTTACTGATTCCATTTTGAACACTCTCGTGATCATTTTTTACAAAATTTCTTCCGCTCCATGGGATATATTCCATCCCCCATCTCCCGCGGTGTATTCTCTCCAAAAACAATTAAGACGAGGAGGGCACTAAACGTTTTTCGGAGGACACAGCACTGGTCCGGGTGGCAAGGGGCACCCCGGAATAGGAAAGGGGCAATTATCTTTCGTGTAAAATGATAACAAGGGTGCGGAGTGAGTGAGAAAATGGCACTGGGTATTCGTCTGGGAGGTATAGCATATCCTCAGCAAAAAATACATGTGAGACATCGAGTACTGTATACCTCTCAGTGAGGTGTCTCCCCAAAACCTTTATAACCCTCCGCCTTCTGGTGTGAATTTTGGAAAAAAGGTCATCCACCTCCTCTTTTGAGGTATTCCATACCCCCCCCCCTCCCGCCACCGGGCTATTACTATACTAATACTGAAGGTAAAGTACGGTGAGGCGTTCCATCCCCTCCCTCACACGGGCCCATTGATACTACGTTCTCTATCAAAATGGTCACTATTCGCATAATTTTATGAAAACAACCTTTTCAAAAAAAACTCAAAAACTTTTCTCGGGGGGAGGGGGTCAAATTATCAGGGACAGTACTAGAGGTTTTGAGAGTTTAAGGTGTCGGGATTGCGAGGCTCTAAAAATTATAACGCGACACATATTCTGAGGGGGGCGAAGCCGAATTTTCTGGGGGCGACATTTTGGGAGCAAACATTACGAAAACCTACTATAGTGAATATTTCGAGAGGGAGGGGTTAAAGGTTCCGGGGAAGAGACATGCATTTCCCTATTCCGCGGGGTGCTAATTTTTCGATGGTGAAATTTCCGTTTTGGAAGCGGGGGATTATACCGAGTGTCATTTTGCTCCACAATGCAAACTTATTTGACCGAATTAAATTACGTATCATGAGTTCATCACATTTGCATAAATTTGTCAAGGCTCTCAATCTGCAAGTCTGCCAAAAATATCACACAACACAAACACACACACAGAATGAATGCACAGGAAATGCCGGATTACCTAATCTCTCCTTAGTGGCCTTTTTTTCGACTGGTAATTACGCAAAAATGCAACAGAGGTGACGTAATAATAATTGTTAGTTGATGAATCGATTTTGTGCAATTAAAGTGATAATGGCAGAGGTACCTTTCAGGTTGCAACAGCAGCCGAACATGTTTTTGAAGGGCCCCATTGGCGTTTATTTTTTTGACTCGCGAAAAAGGCACGGCGAATTAAGCTACAAGACCCGTTCGGTACTACTGAACGAAACTGGGAAAAAATTAAACAAATTGCGAGCGTAAGTATTTATTTACACTCCGCTGTTAGATGTTAAGTCAAATTTAATTGGAATGTACAAGGTTACAATCATATTTAGCGTTCGCTACGTAAACAGAATCTCAAGTTGTTAAAACGCGAGGAGTGGCAGCGGACCGTCTTCAATTGCGAAAGAAACGAAAACACGAATTTTCTCACGCGACGCACGTGCGCAACTGCGACCAAAGTAAACAAAATAATTCGCGAAAGGTTGGGTTCGGTGTTCTCGTTTCGTCCGTCCGAGGCTTCAGATCTGAGGCTGAGCACCTGAGACCTCGGCACACTCGCAAATGACAGACTGGAATTCGGCTATTGTATTCAATAAAACAAAAACTACCCCAGTTTTCACTTTAATTATACACCCCGATTAAACGTGCCTCATTGCCAAAGAGGTTTAGGGAAGCCTTCTTCTATTTATTAAACAGTCATAAAGCGTTAAAGATAGTTCCACAACCCCTAATGACCCTAATCAGTGACATCACTGTCGCATAGTGCACATAAACCATAATTTCCGGAAAGGGAGCCATAGTAGAGAACTTAAGACCGGGCTCAAGGATACAAAGATATGATTCAGGGAAGAGAATATTGAGTCGTTGCTTTTCATGGGGGTATTCCATACCCCTCCCCCCCCCCAGACCCCCGGTTCCGCATTCTTTCCCAGAACAGATAGTGCACATACCATAAAACGGTATTTTTTTTAAGGAGCCATAGACCATTGGGAACTTAAGACCAGAGGGGGGTATTGAATACCCCCAGTATACAAAGATATGATGCAGGGAAGACAATATTGGATAGTTTCTATTTCTGGGGGGTATGACCCCCCCCCCCCCCCGGTTCCGCATTCTTTCCCAGAACAAATAGTGTAGAGTGTAATTTTTTGAAAGGAGCCATAGACCATAGGGAACTTAAGACCGGGGGGGGTATTGAATACCCCCAGTATACAAAGATATGATGCAGGGAAGACAATATTGGATAGTTCCTGCTGGGGGGGGGGGGTATGACCCCCCCCCCCCCCGGTTCCGCATTCTTTCCCAGAACAAATAGTGTAGATACCATATTATAAAGTGTAATTTTTTGAAAGGAGCCATAGACCATAGGGAACTTAAGACCGGGGGGGTATTGAATACCCCCAGTATACAAAGATATGATGCAGGGAAGACAATATTGGATAGTTTCTATTTCTGGGGGGTATGACCCCCCCCCCCCCCCGGTTCCGCATTCTTTCCCAGAACAAATAGTGTAGATACCATATTATAAAGTGTAATTTTTTGAAAGGAGCCATAGACCATAGGGAACTTAAGACCAGGGGGGTATTGAATGCCCCCAGTATACAAAGATATGGTGCAGGGAAGACAATATTGGATAGTTCCTATTTCTGGGGGGTATGACCCCCCCCCCCCCGGTTCCGCATTCTTTCCCAGAACAAATAGTGTAGATACCATATTATAAAGTGTAATTTTTTGAAAGGAGCCATAGACCATAGGGAACTTAAGACCGGGGGGGTATTGAATACCCCCAGTATACAAAGATATGATGCAGGGAAGACAATATTGGATAGTTCCTATTTCTGGGGGGTATGACCCCCCCCCCCCCCCGGTTCCGCATTCTTTCCCAGAACAAATAGTGTAGATACCATATAGTGTAATTTTTGAAACCAGCCATAGACCATAGGAAACTTAAGTCCAGGAGGGTATTGAATACCCCCAGTACACAAAGCTATGATGCAGGGAAGACAATATTGAATAGTTCCTATTTCTGGGGGGTATTCCATATCCCCCAGACCCCCCGGTTCCGCATTCTTTCCCGTAATTTTTGTAAAGGGTCCATAGACCTTAGGGAAGTTAACATCGGAGGGTCTGGAGTGTATGGAATACCTTCCGTTGAGGAAACAAGTGTTCTAGAGCCCAAGCTCCACGTAACTTTTAAGTGCGATTAAACCATGAAATATCACCTACCTTCAGCTGCCATTCTCGGCACCGTCTTCTTGGTCGTCTCCAAAATCTGCGTGACGCCCTCCAAAAGATCGGAATCTCGCCGGTCGGCCGACGGCTGTACTTCCGGTATGGTGATCGATTCTGTTGTGCGTTTCGTAACCGTAACGCTCGAAAGCTGCTGAACGTCGTGTGGTTTGCCGATGACGATCTGCTCAACAGTTTCCGTGACGACGGTGCCGTCCGGCGTGGTTCGCGTCGTCGTCGTTCTGGTCGGCTTGTGCTTCTCCTCCACCTCGGCGATCTTGTCCTCGACCATACTCTGACGCTTGATCGTGCTTATCTCCTGCACAATTTCGGCCCGCTGCGAAGATGCGGGGATCGCACGTTCCGCCGAGAGGCGCTTCTCGATTATGTTCCGCCTTTCGGACACGGTCTTCTTGAAGTTCTCGTCGTCGTCCGAGGTTTCGTCGATTAGCTTCTCTTCGGCGGAGTACTTGTCCTCGTAGCTTTCTCGAGGGGGGTGATCTGAAAGGGCGGTTACAATCGGCGCGGGCGAGTTGTCGGCGACTTACCGTCAGCGTCGATGAATCGCTCCTTGTCGTAGTACGTTTTGCGCTCCTTTCTCGATATGTGCTCGACTGGCTCGACGTTGAGGCATTGAGGTATTATGTCTTCACGACCTATCCTAATGAGTGCGTTTTCTAGGACGTTTCCTTGTGCGCGGTTGCCAGACTGCGATATCCACATTCTGAGCATCGACTGCGCCTGCTTCGCCACGCTGTCGGGGTATTCGGATTTGATTACGTTAATCTCGGAGACGGTAAGTCCGAGCTGGTTGGCCAACGGAACCCAGTCCTCGCCGAGGAGGTTGCTCATGTCGGCAAGCCGCGGGTCTGGTCTGTAGTACTCGTACGTGTCCTTCAGGAAGCCCGATCTCTTCCACGAGTCGCTGTCGGTGAGCGAAATTGTTTCCGAGACGATATCGTCCGGGAGTACAATGTTAAGTATGCAAATGGGTTGTTGGGGTGGTTCGCCTTTGGGAACTTTGGCCTCCTTCATGAAGAGCGATCGTCCGACGGCTTCGGCGTGTTGATCTTTGACTCTCACCGAGAACGGCAGGCGATTCTCTTTGAACGCCCTGAAGGCGAACTGCAGCTGCTCGCCGCTTTTGGTGATGGGCACCAGGTTCCCTGCGAATTCTATGTATTGTGGTTTGCCTTCCATTACCTGAAACGTTTCGTTAGTTTACGGGCGCGACTGTTTGGGAGGTTACCTCAACATCGCGGCTTTTTGCAACCTCGGTGAAGTGCTCTTGGTGCTCCAGGGTTTTGTCTTCTTTGTCGTCCGTCATGCAGAAGACTCTCAGTCTAGCTTCTAGGGGGTCTACGCGTTTCGCGAACACGACGAATTTGGCCATGAACGGGACGTGGATTGCTTCCCTGTAACAAAAACGTGGAGGAGTTCGGATGAGACGGGGGCGAATTTACTTGTATAGTTCCGTGGCCATCTTGGTAGCGTCGCCTATGTTTCTGCAGTCCATAAGCCAAAATCGCGCCGATACTGTTGTGGTGAACGAGACGCAGTCGTTGACGAAGGTCAGGGGAGTGGAGCCTGTGACGTCCTCCCACTGCGCTCTGGTGGTGCCACCTTTTGGAGAAAAACGCGCGTTAGTGATTGGCAATCAAAATTTCTGCACCACGCGTATACTCACTGCTCGTCTAAGGTAATACTCGGCGTTCTTAAGAGTTTTTTTAAGCATGCGTATATGAAACTGTGCCAATTGCAAATGAGAGTTGAGCAAGCCAGATGATTGTAAAGACAAGACAAACAAACAGAAGAATTTAGAGGAGCCCACCCACATGTATTGTAACATAAAGCAAAAGATTGTTGTGGCATACAATTAAGCATACATCCCGTACATCCTTGGCGTGTCAAGCAAAATGCAATTGTGGAAAAAGCGGCATCAAAGCAAAGCATGTAGTCGAACGGTTTCAGAAAAGACCAGTCGCGGGGCAACTAACTTCCCGTGTCGTTAATTAAAAAAATTCTTTTATAATAAATGCTCGACTGATCCGACGACGAAATTTCCAAAAAAAACTCAAATTTCAAAATACGATATGCAGCAAATCTAAAAATAGTGAACAATTGCAAAAATTGTGTTCTCGTGAATTTCCTTAATATTTAAACTAAACGACTAAAAGGCGTATTAATTGTGGAAAATAAAGAGACTCTGGATGCTGCGGCCGCCGAATTTTCGTCGGTCGCGGAGAGGCGTTGCGAAAATCGGCGCGCCGCCTCGCCTCCACAACCTAATAAACAATTTCAAATTATAAAAAGAGAGAATACATTCTAAAAGGGGGCAGCCCACAATATTTTAGTTAGTTACCTTTGAGAGATCTTTTCCGAAACACCCCTGGACCCCGCGTGAAAATGACCAAGTAGCGCATTAGTTTGATCTTTTTTTTTGTTCTCTAAAAATGGTTGGTTTTGTGATAACGCAATGACGTCTTCACAATGTGACGTAATTAGGAGCCCTTTATACAAAGAATGTTATTGTGTGATTAAAAAGCAAAAAACGAAAGCCGAAAGAACCCACTCTGTGTGCTTCTAATGGACACAAAGGCGTCTTAATGTCGTCACAAAAAGCAGGTGGCTGGCAAACTAGTCGTCCGATAATTTCCTCCGCTCTACCTCTACAAGGTATCTAAAAAGGTCTACGTTTAACTACAATCTAACAAGCTTGCCAACCCCCTAACAACTAATAATGAGCTTACAAGGATAACACAACGACACATTGAAAGATATTGTTTAATACACGGAAAAAATTCAAACGTGAATAGTACACAACATTTACGGCTATAGCTACAGTAATTTTTTACAATGTACGTGTCGGTCATAGTCCGAGTCCCAGTCCCCAACACATTTTGAAAAATAAACTCGAGTGGAGTCCAACTTTTAAAAATTGCCCCCCCCCCCACCTCTCAACTTGCACTTCATTGTAAAATGCTGAAATACTAGCAATTGTTTCCATTGCAACAAAAGCCGTCACCCCCGCCCCACATGCTACCAGCAAATCATACTTTGAAGATTTTTCCTCTGCTCCCACCCAATCTGGGGAACCTACAACGCTCTAGAAAGGTCCTCCACGCCCCCTCCCCCTCCAGTTTTACAATTTTCCATCGAATATAATAGCAGGAGAACGAAGGACGGTGAAGGGGGGCTCTGGGAGGTATAATAACCCCCTCCCCCCAGTGTACGAAGATCCTAGGATAGTTGTAGCGAAATGAACAATGAATTTATCCTTTTGCTGGGGGACCCAGATCCCCCGGTTCCGCATGTGCTACCCCAATACCGTTAGTTCCTTAGCGAGTACAACACAATTTTTTCAGGGGGTCCATTGAATACAACAGGAGTATGGAATGCCATCAGGACAGGAAAATTTGATGGTCCTTTATGAAAAACTACTACAAGGAATGTTTTGAGGGGGAACAGAGCACGGGAGGGGGGTCTAGGGGGTACGGAATATCCCCCGGTGTACGGAGGTCTTAGGACAGTTGTAGAATGAACACTGAATGTTTGTTTTTGCTGGGGGGTATTCAACATCCCCCAGACCTCCCGGTTCCGCATTTGGTTCCCAACACCGTTAGTCGCTTAGTGACTACATCACCATCGAATATAACAGGAAGAGTCTGTGGAGTATGAAATATCGTCAGTAAAGGAAGATTTGATGGTCTTTACTACCACAAGCAATACTTTGAGGGAGAACATAATACCCCCCGTGTACGAAGATCTTTTGATAGTTGTTGAGGATCGTTGGGGAAATGAACATTGAATTTTTCCTACCCCCCCCCAGACCCCTCGGTTCTGCGTTGAGCTCTTCAAAACGTTTAGGCCTTTCGATTACATCATAATTTTTGAAAGGGGCCATCGAATATATCAGCAGGAGCGGGAGAACATTGAATATAGAGGAAGAGCCTTTGGAGGGATCCGTTAACTTGGCCCCCCCACTGAGAGATTTGATAGTCGTATTATTTTGAAATGAATGCGCTCGTTATGCGCTCATATGCGCCACCGATAATAACTTTGCGCCATTATCGTTTTTTAGAAATCCGAAAATAACATTTGGGGGGCCAAGTGAACGTAGCCCCCCCCAGTACGTATTTTGTCCCTTGTAACTAGGTCACCTGATACATTTGGTTATGCGCTCAATTGCGCCACTTGAATTAAAACTAGCGCCATTACGGTTAAGCCGTGACAAATTTTCAAAAAGTGGGGGGGGCCAACTTAACGTTTTTAAAAGTTACTTTTTTTTAACATCTTTTCATACGAAATTGTACTCTCAGGTATGCGCTGAAATGCGCCGTAAAAAGATATCTTTGCGCCATTATTGTTTTTTGGATATTCTTAAATATATTGGGGGGGGCAAGTGAACGGAATTCCCCATAACGCATTTTGCTACCGGTATTTGTGCCACTTGATACATCTGGTTATGAGCTCAATTGCGCCACTTGAATTAAAGCTAGCGCCATTACGGTTAAGCCATAAAAAAATTTTTAAAAAGGGGGGGGGGCTAACTTAACGTTTTCAAAAGTTACGTTTTTTAGCATGTTTTTTCTACTACATCGTACCTTTCATCATGCGCTAAAATGTGCCGTAAACAAAAATCTTGGCGCCATTATAGTGTTTCAGAAACACTATACAGGGTGTTTTTTTGGGAGCTTTAGTTAAACGATTTTGGGAAAGTAAAATAGGTAGGTTTTTAAAAATTTGTATTTAGGAGTTACTCCGAAGGCCGAATCGATGTAAAATATTTTCAAAATGGACGCACTTCCGGAAATAACTTTTGAAAACGCTAAGTTAGACCCTCCACTTTTTAAAAATTGTTATGGCTTAACCGTAATGGTGCTAGCTTTAATTCAAGTGGCGCAATTGAGCTCATAACCAGATGTATCAAGTGGCACAAATACCGGTAGCAAAATGCGTTATGGGGGATTTCGTTCACTTGCCCCCCCCCCTCCAATATATTTAAGGATAACCAAAAAACAATAATGGCGCAAAGATATCTTTTTACGGCGCATTTCAGCGCATACCTGAGAGTACAATTTCGTATGAAAAGATGTAAAAAAAAAGTAACTTTTAAAAACGTTAAGTTGGCCCCCCACTTTTTGAAAATTTGTCACGGCTTAACCGTANTCACTTGGCCCCCCCCAAATGTTTTTTTCGGATTTCTAAAAAACGATAATGGCGCAAGAGTTATTATCGGTGGCGCATATGAGCGCATAACGAGCGCATTCATTTCAAAATAATATGACTATGAAATCTCTCAGGGGGGGGGGGGGGGACAAGTTAACGGACCCCCTTTGGAGTATGAAATATCACCAGGAAAGGAAGATTTGATGGTCCTTTATGAAAAACTACCACAAGGAATGTTTTTAGAGGGAACACAGCACGGGGGGGGGGTGTATATCCCCCGGTGTACGGAGGTCTTAGGACAGTTGTAGAATGAACCCCCATATCCGACAGACCCCCCGGTTCTACATTTGGTTCCCAACACCGTTAGTCACCATCGAAAATACTTGTAACAGGAGGAGTCTGTGGAGTATGAAATATCGTCAGTAAAGGAAGATTTGATGGTCCCTGTACTACCACAAGCAATGCTTTGAGGGAGAACATAATCCCCCCCGTGTACGAAGATCTTAATATGATAGTTTTAGGGAAATGAACACTGAATTTTTCCTTTTGCTGAGGAGTATTACATACTGAAGGACTTGCTGATTTGGCATACAATGAAGAATTTGAAACTGAAGGCCAGGAAAGAGCGAGAGATGAGAGATGCAAATTCTAACATTTCAGAAGATTCAAAGAATTCCGTCGATAACTATATATATATATTATATATATGTGTGTAAAGTAGATAGCATGGCACCACTTTTTTGTCAGTTAAATTTTTGCGCCCGCATACGAGTTCTGTCTGGTCAGGTTGTACTGTAGATATACCCTTTGATTAATAAGTAGTTATTGAAAAAAAAGGTGAGACACTCAAGAAACGATACTATGACATAAACTTACCGGTAATCGAACAGAGTAGCCTAAGTGTCGGCGCCGAACCTGAGTATTGGTTGATCATGCCCTGCGAGTGCGCTCTCGGCGCGGGCATACTTAGCGTGATCGCTTTGTGGAATTTACGTCTACGTGGTTCCACGGTTACAACCGGCGACACGGCGACGCCGTGCCCCAGGAGTTTCGCCGTTAGTTCCGGATCGATCGGCTGCGCCTGCGCAAGAGACAGTGTCACTTTTTCCATTCGATGATAGATGCATTAGTATGATTGAACAGAGAAAGCGCCTGCAGAAAGAGAGAGGATGGAAGGATCGAGGTTAAGGTGACGACACAAAGCCAGGTTCGAAAGCAACAGAACACAAAGAAAATGGCAACTGAAAGTGCGATAAAAATGAGAAGCGGTAATGAAAATGAGCACCTTAAGTACGAGCGCCCAATATCACTATAGTTAAACATGCTTAAATCTACATTTTCGAACCGTGCTTTGCATTTTCTTCGTCGGTATTCATAAAAACAAGCCTCGAATGTGGTTAATGCCCATGAATACCGAAAGTTAGTAATCAAACGAATGTTAGTTGTGTTAGTTTAACTAAATTTTATTGGGCACTCTTAAAACTGGTACAATGTGATAGTGCAGATTAACCAGTGGTACACAAAAGTTAAGACATACACAATGTTATTCTAAATGTGCTCAAAAATGACATGATGGCGCTTCCAGTAGCAAGACAACATAGAATGCTAGGAGCGTGGAGTACATCTTATTGTCTAGATGTCATATAAAAATACTGGCCACTTCAAAAATATGGAGCCACTATTATGATACACTTTTTTTCAATAAATTACATTAATAAAACCAACACCTACGAACTAATCAAAATTTGTACTTAACGCCAAAGAGGAAGAAACTGGATTAGGCCATTACAAACTTTTCTGACTAGCACATTGTATGACTAGGTGAACACGTTTTAGCCTTATCGAACAATAAATACATTTTAGTGAACACAAATCTTAAAATTCTACCATATAAGCGACCAGCGCATCTTTTTCGGTATGTGATTAACCGTAATCTTTCGCAACTTTTCAACCGGAACGCCTTTGCGCGGCTTAAACAAATTTACCTGAAGTCCGACTTTAATCTTCTTCGTGAGGGCGCCCTGAGGGAACACCGCCTGCACTTGGGGCACGACGGTGCTCGACACCATGCCGCCTTCGGGTCCGATCGCGTGCACCTCCTGCCTGACGCGCGACACCACCGCGAAGTACTGGGGAAAGTCGTTGGTGACGATCCGCGTGATGCGACCGGAGGCGGGATCCTCCATCTGGCTCAAATCTGCAAAACCACCCGTTAGCCCAAATCACCGAGACCTCGACTCCTACCGTCAGCCTCGAAACTGTCGTGAAGAACATCGTTCAAAATCTCCTCGGCCGACTCGACGGTGTGCTCCCGCCAAGATTCGCCGTTATCTGAGCGTAGTATCACAATTTCACGCTCTTTACCTCGAAGAGCGGCGAAGTGTGGCACCTCAATTATCGCAGGGCTAAACACAGACCATCAAAAACGGCTCGGACACGACCGCACTTACCCCAAAAACTTAACTCCAACAGGGCCTAACTCCAAAACTCGACTGGCTAGGGCCTCTCCTTCCATTAGAGGAGGAGGATGTGGCGTGCGTTGCGGTCGTACGTATCTGCACGTGATCCTCGTCGGGCTCGGGGCGCACCGTGGCGGCACTATGACGCGTACACCAGAGTGTCGGCACCCTCTCATCGCGCCGCCGCGCGCGTCGACCAGGAACGATACCAAGAAGCTAAAAACAGAAAGGCAATAAGCGCCGAGCCACGAAACCGCGAAAGCCACAACGATAACAACTTACTTCTTCCAATGCAGCTTCCTAGGGTACCAAACAGAAATTTAATATTCGCAACGGGAGACGGCGCGACGACTTACCCAATGTTAATCGGATGCCGGGCGACGTCCACGTTGTCCGGCGCGTATTTCCTCGCGTACTCAATGTAGTTCTGCTGGATGTGCTGGGGACTGATCGTGTCCTCGATCGCCTGCGGGGGCAGCATGTTGCTGTCGCCGCTCGCGACCATGCGATTCGAGTCCATCCGCTCGTCTTTGGTGACGTCGATCGGCAGAGAGTCGTCGCCTAGCGATTTCATTTCGTCCGCCGTTAGGTAGCGGTACGTTTGGTCGCCGAGCAGTGTGTCCTCGCCTGTCGGAACAGAAACGTACACATGCAAAATGCGATCGTGCGAGGATCGCGGCTTCAAACCCTGACCCATTCACGCATCGACTCTCACGCGGACTGGCAAACACGGATCGAGGTAGAAAAAGGGAAATTCAAAAACCTGGTGGTACCCATCGGGACAATAATTCGCAAACTTAGATCGGCATGCCACAAGTGGTTCCAAGCAGGGAAAAAACCCCTGGTTCCAGAAAGTTCCAAATTACATGGTTAATGAACCTCAAGGTTCAAAACCCATAGCACACAATTTCAGGTGAAGGGGTCTGAAGCAAATTTCAGAGGGTTGATAAATGCCATGCGTCGATGGATTACCCTCTGGCTCGCTGGGCAACTTTTACATTGAGCCAATTGAGTCTGGTTGATGCCTAAATTAAATCATTGCAAGTGGGCCGAATCCCACTTTTTTTAAATAAAGGACAAAAGAACGACGGTAACTGTATCGATCTCGGCTTACTCGGCAATGGTTGCGTAGAGCCGAAGGCGAGTTCGGCACAATCCGCTTCTGTTTTGTTTAAAAAGAGGCACAACGGCACGACGATGTTTTGGTTTAAGCCGAACCCGCCTTCTGTTTCCCTTCGATGCATAAAATATGTGAATGCGAGTTCGGCACAATCCGACACCATTTTGTTTAAAAAAAAAGCACAACGGCACGGCGATGTTTTGGATTGTGCCTTGAGGCAACTGTTTCAATCATATCCCGTGTTCTTTAAAATAAAGCACAACGATACGGCGGTTTTGAATTGTGCATTGAGGTAATTGTTTCCCCTTTTGGTGAATGAAATGGCTCATTTCCGAGCTAGCCGTAGGCGAATTGGGCACAATTGGACATCATTTTGTTTATAAAAAGGCACAACAGCACGACGATGTGCAGCTTGTACCGAACTCGCCTTCTGATCGCTCGGAAATGGTTCCATTGAAGAAATTGATACATAAAATACGTCATTTCCGAGACAGCCGAAGGCGAGTTCGGCATAATCCGATCCCAGTATGTTAAAAGGGAAGCACAACGGCACGATTACGTTTTAAATTGTGCCGAACTTGCCTTCTGATCGCTCGGCGATGGTTGCATTTACGTAGATGCATTTAATACGCCATTGCCGAGCGAGCCGTAGGCGAGTTCGGCACAACCGGATCCCATTTTGTTTAGAAAAAGGCACAACGGCACGACGATGTTTTGGATTGTGTCGAACGCCTGCATTTAGGTAATTGTTTCCCCGTGATACATAAAATACGTCATTGCCCAGCGAGGCGAAGGCGAGTTCGGCACAATCCGCCCCTATTTTTTTTTAAGTAAAGCACAACGGCACGACTACGTTTTTTGTTTTTGTTTTTTGTGCTGAACTCGCCTTCTAATCGCTCGACAATGGCTCCATAGAGATAATTGTTCCCTTTGATGCATAAAATATGTCATTATCGGGCGAGCAGTACCCGAGTTCAGCACAATCCGACCTCATTTTGTTTATAAAAAGGCACAACAGCACGGCGATGTGCAGCTTGTGCCGAACTCGGCTTCTGATCGCTCGGAAATGGCTCCATTGAAGAAATTGATACATAAAATACGTCATTTCTGAGACAGCCGAAGGCGAGTTCGGCATAATTCGATCCCAGTATGTTAAAAGGGAAGCACAACGGCACGATTACGTTTTAGATTGTGCCGAACTTGCCTTCTGATCGCTCGGCTATGGTTGCATTTACGTAGATGCATTTAATACGCCATTGCCGAGCGAGCCGAAGGCGAGTTCGGCACAATCATATCCCTTGTTCTTTAAAATTAAGCACAACGGCATGGCGATGTATGTGGGCTTGCATGGCGTGGCTGAATTAAGGTAATTTTTTCACCATGATGCATAAAATATGTCATTGGCGAGCGAGCCGTAGGCGAGTTCGGCACAGCCGGATCCCATTTTGATTAGAAAAAGGCACAACGGCACGACGATGTTTTGGATTGTGCCGAACGCCTGCATTTAGGTAATTGTTTCCCCTTGATGACTTCAAGCCTCGAACTTTTTTAAAGCGTATGAAGTCAAATTAAGTCTCGAAGCAAATTGTTAACCTCGCGCAGGGACTAAAATTTTGCACAATATGGAAACGCGTATGTTTTGAACCCGGTCAAGTCCAAAATCCAAATCTAGAAAGCTCAAGGTTCAATTTTTATAAATTTCCTTTAGGAGGAAGGTGAGTTCGGCACAATCCGACACCATTTGGTTTAAAAAAAGGCACAACGGCACTGCGATGTTTTGTATTGTGCCTTGAGGTAATTGTTTCCCCTTTTGCTGCATGAAATGGGATATTTTCGAGCGAGGCGAAGGCGAGGTCGACACAATCCGATTAGAGTTTGTTTAAAATAAAGCACAACGGCACGACTACGTTTTAGATTGTGCCGAACTTGCCTTTTGATCGCTCGGAGATGGCTGCATTTCGGTAGATGCATACAATACGCCATTGCCGAGCGAGCCGTAGGCGAGTTCGGCACGATCCGATCCCCGATTGTTAAAAATGAAGCACTACGTTTTAGCTTGTGGAAATGGCTTCATTTCGGCCTTTAATGCATAAAATATGCCATTATCGGGCGAGCCGTAGGCGAGTTTGGCACAATTCGACCCCATTTTGTTTATAAAGAGGCACAACGGCACGGCGATGTTTTGAATTGTGCAGCTTTCGCCGAACTCGCCTTCTGAACGTTCGGAAATGGTTCCATAGAAGAAATTGTTTCCCCATGATACATAAAATATGTCATTGCCGAGCGAGCCAAAGACGAGTTCGGCACAATCCGCTCGTATTTTGTTTAAAGTAAAACACAACGGCACGGCGATATCTTGGCTTGCCTGTCATGACTGCATTAAAACAATTGTTTCCCCTATGATGCATAGAATACGTTAATGCCGAGCGAGCCGAAAGGTAGTTCGGCACAATACGATCCCATTTTGTTTAAATTGAAGCACAACGGCACGACTACCTTTTGTGCTAAACTCGCCTTCTGATCGCTGGCCAATGGCTCCATAGAGATAATTGTTCCCTTTGATGCATAAAATATGTCATTGTCGGGCGAGCCGTACCCGAGTTCAGCACAATCCGACCTCATTTTGTTTATAAAAAGGCACAACAGCACGGCGATGTGCAGCTTGTGCCGAACTCGGCTTCTGATCGCTCCATTGAAGAAATTGATACATAAAACACGTCATTACTGAGCCAGCCGAAGGCGAGTTCGGCATAATCCGATCCCAGTTTGTTAAAAAGGAGGCACAACGGCACGACTACGTTTTAGCCTTCGGCTTGCTCGGTAATGACTGCATTGCAGTAATTGTTGCCCCCGACGACTTCAAGCCTCGAACTTTTTTATAAAATCAAATTAAGTCTCGAAACCAAAGTGTTAACCTCGCACGGGGACCAAAATTTTGCACAATATGAAAACGCGTATGTTTTGAACCTGGTCAAGTCCAAAATCAAAATCTAGAACGCTGAGGGTTCAATTTTTATAAATTTCCTTTAGGAGGAGCTAGGATTTTGGACTTTTGACTAAATGGCCAAATAAAGTAGTACTCACATGGACATGGACGAGCATCCACACGCACACACTAATTTCGGTTTTGAAGCCACACAAAATCACTAAAAGCTCACTAGTTCGTTCAGTACCTACGCTTTGCAACAAAAATCAAAAGAATGAGATGAAAAAAATCGATGGAAAAATGAACCTGTGCGCAAAACTTACGGCTCAGAAGGGACGTGCCGTTGAAATACGGCAGATAGACGTGCTGCTCGTGAGGCGCCTGACCATATCCGTCCATAACATCCTCGACTGGTTAGCGCGAGCAAAAATTCCACAAATGTTGAGTCTGTAGGTACACATTTGCGTTTGTGTGAGGAAAATTGCGCTTTAGATTAATTCCCACGTTTTCGATTATTTAATAATTGAAAACGCCTAAACGCTGACCTAACTTTTTTAAAGAGGGACTCGTGGGTCGACCAAAAATAATGCGCACGTTATGATTGAAAGAAGCGCGATGTGAGCGGCTAGCGGGTGTGTTTCGGGCACCTACCTCCCTCCTCCTCGGAATCGGACATGAAGGTCTCCTGCATCGCTTCGGGCGCGACGACACGGTACTTTTCCTCGCCGACGTTGGGGCTGCCGGCGGGCGTTTCGGTGACGACCTTGAGGGTGTCGATCACGCTGATGTAGCCCTGCTTCTGGGCGATGTTGAGGGGGGTCTGGCCGTTCTGAAACCGAGGCGTGAGGGTCGAGTGCAGGGGGTGGGGGACTTACCGTCGTGACGGCGTTCGGTTGCGCCGAGTTTTCCAGGAGGATGTTGACGATGTTCGTGTGGCCCTGTTGGGCGGCCTGGTGGAGTGGCGTGTAGCCGATTGACGTGGTGGATTTGACGTTGGCCCCGTTGCCGAGGAGGAATTTGACCATGTTCGACTGGCCGTAGTGGCAAGCGACGTGGAGCGGTGTGTAGCCGCCTTTGGTTTGGGCGTCGACTTCGCCGCCGTTCTTCAGTAGGATTTCGGCGACGGGGACCCGATCTTCTTGCGCGCAGAGGTGGAGCGGGGTCAGTCCGTTTTTCGCTTGGTGGTTTACATCGGCGTTGTGTTCGAGTAGAAGCGACGTCATGTCGGTGTGGCCCTCTTGGGCGCTCAAGTGAAGCGGAGTGAAACCCGCCTTACTTTCGGCGCTCGGTTGGGCGCCGTACTCCAGCAGCGTGTTCGCGATATCCATCTGATTCTTTCGGGCCGCTATGTGCAAGGGAGTGTGTCCGTTTTTCGCAATCGCGTGCGGCGACGCGCCCTTGTCGAGTAGCAGAAGGGCGACGTTTTGGTGGTCGTAGTGGGAGGCTACGTGAAGAGGCGTCACGCCGTTTTTACCCTGCGAGTCAACCGGCGCTTCTTTTTGAAGAAGCAGCTTTGCTACCTTTATATTTCCGTATTTCGCCGCCAGGTGGAGTGGCGTAAAACCTTTTTTGGTTGTCGCGTTTAAAGAAGCCCCGTTGTCTAATAGAGCAGCCGCCACCTGGTGAAGTCCAAACTTAGTCTAAGAGACATGCGCATAGTGAATGTACCCAAAAAGAGCACAAAACGTATATCAAAATTTGGCACCAATTTTGCTATACGTTTTATGCTGAGCGGATACCCTAATTTTGGATACATACACAGTGAGGGAGGAGAAATGATAGAGTGCTAGGATTCAGAGAAGTGAGATGCATAGATTTTCCCTTTCAGTGAAAACAAAGACAAGAGTGCAACGAACAGTTTTATTTACACACACAGGGGAAGAAGAAGAAATGAAGAAAGGGAGTACCTACAAAGTGAGCGATTAGATTAGACAAGAAATTCTTGGTTTCTCATCCAAAATACATCAATTATATACGTTTGGGCAATGTGAGCTAGCAATCTTCTGGAAGTGAGTATTATTACCTCGTCTTGCCCCTCCTTGGCAGCGATATGGAGCGCGGTGTACATATCTTTCGTTGTCGTATCTACCTTGGCCCCGTGCTGCAAGAGCAGCATCACAATGTCTACGTTTCCTAGGCGCGAGGCGATATGCAGAGGTGTCTGCTGCTCGCGAGCGCGCGCGTCGACGTTGGCGCCGTTCCGCAGCAAAATTCGAATTATATCCGTCTGGCAACACAGCAATTAGACCACGCCTACCTGATGCAAAACGCGCTTACCTGATTCGCTCTCGCTGCCAGATGCAGAGGGGTCTCTCCGCGCACCGTCGGAACGTCCGGATTCGCCTCGTGTTGCAAAAGGTAGATCACAATATTCATGCATCCCATAAAACTGGCAACGTGGAGCGGAGTCAGCCCACTTTCGGTAGTCGCGCCGATACCTGCCGTAAATTGGTTAACCCGGACCCACTCGAAAGGCTCTAGACTTACTTGCGCCGTGCTTCAGAAGTAGCTCGACGACTTTAATGCGATTCTTCTTGCAAGCGATGTGAAGAGGGGTGAAACCGTTAAGCGCACGCGCGTTTGCGTCCGCCCCTCGGTCCAGCAGAAGCTTGGCAACCCTCGCGTGACCGCAGTGGGCGGCGACGTGGAGGGCTGTCAGATAGTCAACGGTAACCTCGTCGACTGGTGCACGGTGGTAAAGAAGAATGCGTGCAGCGTCGACGTGATCACCTTGCGCCGCCATGTGCAGTGGTGCCAGGCCGTTCTAAAATCCCCAACCGTCAAAAATACCATAGACACACACCCACCGCCTCACCTTAGTCTTAGAACTAATTGGTGCGCTACGCTCTAGGAGCATATCTACAACTTTCTCGTGGCCGCTACGCGCCGCGCAGTGGAGAGGTGTCAGTCCATCGCGCGTCTTCGACTCAATGTACGCCCCTCTATCTAATAACAAGGCCACCATATTCGTTTTGCCCCATTTCGCCGCTACGTGCAGGGGTGATATATTATGTTTGGCGGAGTAGTTCACATCTGCGCCTTTCTGTACAAGTAAATTTGCTATGGATTCGTTCCCGTAATGGGACGCTATGTGGAGGGGTGTAAATCCGGACTTTGAGGTGACATCCGGATTGTGTTCGTTCTGGAAAGAGACGATGAACTCCGATCGTGCGTGATTCGATGCTTACTTCTAAGAGTAATTTGGCCGCCTTCACGTCATCCTTCTTTGCGGCGATGTGGAGCGCGGGAAGCCTCACTTTTCCTCTGGTGTCGTTCTCCAAGAGCACCGTCACCACCTTATCGTGACCTTGTTGCATGGCCACCGCCAAAGGTGTAAAGCCATCCTAAGTGGGAGCAAAATGTAGAGGTTATGGTCGGTAAACATTCTACCCCACACCCCAACTCTTTCAATGATTTAGATAATCGCAATTGTATTGAGGTGGGACCAGTTTCTGCCCCCCTCCCCATCAATTAAACATTATTTCTTATACTGATCTCAGAACACAACCTCCAAGTGTGCACTAACACTTTTACGTTTGAGCCTAAGCGTTTTTTGACAATTACTTGTTCAGGGAGGGGGGTTAATTCAGCTCGCACGTGAAGGGAATGAAATGCTTCTTCCTGGGAAAGAGGAAACTGAGAACTTCCTACAGAATGATCATAAAATCGCGGAAGGCTACAAACCTTGGCGGGGGAGAGGGGGGGGGGGCGGAGTAGCAGATAGAAAAATATCTTATTTGTAAGCGAAGACCATCTAATACTCCTCTAAAGAAGAGATTTAATGATTATTTCATCATAAAACCTTCTGTACTGGGGAGAATTCCATACCTCCAGAGGCCCCGGTGGAGCGTTCTACTTCAAAATATGCAGCCCTTAAGGACATTTTCCAAAAATTATTATTTCAGTGGTAATTGTACTAAACATTTTGAGAAATACAAACCGGGGGGTCTGGGGGGGCATGGAATACCCCCCAGAAAACGAAATAATTGATATTAAGTTCATTGTAAAACCTTCTGTAGTGAAGAGTCTGGCCTGGGGGTATCATAACCCCCAGGAAACGAAAAATTTGACATTAAGTTTATCGTAAAACCTTCTGTACTGGAGAGTATGGCTGGGGGGGGGGGTATTCACACCTCTCAAACCCCGCGATGGGGCGGGTTCTATTTTCAAAAACGTTCAGGCCTTAAGGACTTTTTCCCAAAATGATGGTGTAAGTGATGTGTACTATACAAGATTTGTGAAATACAAACCCGGGGGTCTGGGGAGGGTTATGGATACCCCCAGGAAACGAAAATATTTAAGTTTATTGTAAAAACCTTCTGTAGTGAAGAGTAGGCCCTGGGGGTATGCATAAACCACCAGAAACGAACAATTTGACATTAAGTTTATCGTAAAACCTTCTGTACTGGAGAGTATGGCTGGGGGAGGGGGGTATTCCACACCTCTCAAACCCCCGATGGGGCGTTCTATTTCAAAACGTTCAGGCCTTAAGGACTTTTTCCCAAAAATGATGGTGTAAGTGATGTGTACTACAGATTTTGTGAAATACAAACCGGGGGGTCTGGGGGGTATGGAATACCCCCCAGGAAACGAAATATTAAGTTTATTGTAAAACCTTCTGTAGTGAAGAGTATGGCCTGGGGGTATCATAACCCCCAGGAAACGAACAATTTGACATTAAGTTTACCGTAAAACCTTCTGTACTGGAGAGTATGGCTGGGGGAGGGGGGGATTCCACACCTCTCAAACCCCCGATGGGGCGTTCTATTTCAAAACGTTCAGGCCTTAAGGACTTTTTCCCCAAAATGATGTGTAAAAGTGAATGTGTACTAACAGATTTTGTGAAATACAAACCGGGGGGTCCTTGGGGGGTATGGAATACCCCCAGGAAACGAAAATATTAAGTTTTATTGGGTTTAAACCCTTTATGTGGTGAAGAGTATGGCCTGGGGGTATAATAACGCCCCAGGAAACGAACAATTTGACATTAAGTTAACCGTAAAACCTTCTGGTACTGGAGAGTATGGGCTGGGGGAGGGGGTATTCCACACCTCCTCAAACCCCCCGAATGGGGCGTTCTATTTCAAACGTTTCAAGGCCTTAAAGGCTTTTTCTCCCAAAAATGATGGTGTAAGTGATGTGTACTACAGATTTTGTGAAATACAAACCGGGGGGTCTGGGGGGTATGGAATACCCCCCAGGAAACGAAATATTAAGTTTATTGTAAAACCTTCTGTAGTGAAGAGTATGGCCTGGGGGTATCATAACCCCCAGGAAACGAACAATTTGACATTAAGTTTATCGTAAAACCTTCTGTACTGGAGAGTATGGCTGGGGGAGGGGGGTATTCCACACCTCTCAAACCCCCGATGGGGCGTTCTATTTCAAAACGTTCAGGCCTTAAGGACTTTTTCCCAAAAATGATGGTGTAAGTGATGTGTACTACAGATTTGGTGAAATACAAACCGGGGGGTCTGGGGGGTATGGAATACCCCCAGGAAACGAAATAATTGATATTAAGTTTATTGTAAAACCTTCTGTAGTGCAGAGTATGGCCTGGGGGGTATCATAACCCCCAGGAAAGAGAGTTTTGATATTAAATTGATTGTAATACTTTCTATACTGGAGAGTATGGCTGGGAATACCCCCAGACCTCCCGGTGGTGCGTTACATACTTCAAACCATTCATCCCCTAAGGATCTTTTCCCAGAAATGATAGTCTAAGTGGTAAGTGTGCTAAATATTTTGAGAAATACAACACGGAGGGTCTGGGGAGTATCGAATACCCCCCCCCCCGAAAACGCGAGCTTTAATATAAAGTTTATGGTAACACCTTCTGTACTGGAGAGTATAGCCTAAGGGTATCATACCCCCCAGGAAACGAGAGATTTGATATTACGTTAATCGTAAAACCTTCTGTACTAGAGGATATATCGCTTGGGAGGGGGGGGGGGGATATCATACCTCTCAAACCCACCGGTGGAGCGTTCTATTTCAAAACGTTCAGGTCTTAAAGACTTTTCCCAAACATTATGGTATAAGTGGTAAGTGTACTAAACATTTTGAGAAATACGACGCCGGGGATCTGGGGAGTATGGAATCCCCCCCCTCCCCCCAAAACGCGAGCTTTGATATTAAGTTTATCGTAACACCTTCTGTACTGGAGAGTATGGCCTGGGGGGGGGGGTATGATGAAACGAGAGATTTGATATTGTTTCTTGTAAAAACTTCGATACTGGTGGGTATGGCTGGGGGGTTTTCCATACCCCCCAGGCCCCCCGGTGGTGCGTTCTACTTCAGAACGTTCGGCCCTTCAAGACTATTTCCCAAAAAAGATGTGTAAGTGGTAAGTGTACGAAACGTTTTGGGAAATACAACACCGAAGGGTCTGGGGGGCTATAGAATACCCCTATGGAGGCGAAGATCTATTGTAAAAAATAACCACGAGAGTTCGGAGGGTTTAGTTGTTTTTGGACCTGGGAAAACAGAGATTTGCTATTAAGACGTGAAAAAAAATTCTGTACTGGGTGGTATTCCATACCTCAAAACGGCCAGCCCTTAAAACTTTTCCAAAAATTATGACATATGTAGTAAGGGTATTAAGTATTTTGGGGAAGAATATAAAACCGCACCAACTATACGTTCCGCCACAAGACGTTTAGAGAATTATTCTCATAACAGTTTTCGTCAAGACCTCATTGAACTCTTAGCACCGTGGGTCTGGAGGGAGGGTAAAGTACCCCTAGGAGAAGAGGAAAGTGATCAACTCCTACAGAGTGATCATAAAAAGATGCTGCACACAGTGAACGCTTGGAAATAAGACGTAGCACTGCTGGGACATGGGGGTAAATAGTGATGAGTTCCGTTGGTATTTTGAAGAAAAACAGCACGGGCGCGGGGGGAGTAAACTTTTTGAGAGAGGAGGTCCTATTTGTTCAAAGTGAGCGCTTAATGGTTCCCAGAATAACTACAAAAATGTTTAAAATGGGGAGGGGGCCCCCTGGGAGTATATATTACCCCCTCCCCCACCCTTAATCTTAATGGAACGCATAAGGATTTCATGATAAATGTAAAGAAATTTTAAAACGGGGAGGAGAGAACCAATGACAATTGCGTTTGTCAAAATAGAATCAGTTATGGAAATATCGCAGAGGGGGCGATCGAGTCGGTGCTTACCTCCGTCGCTAAGCTTTGATTGGCGCCATTCGCCAGAAGGTACTTGACGACGTTGTCGTGGTTTTCTTGAGCGGCCATATAAAGCGGCGTGAATCCATTTTGACTTTGGACGTTAACAGAAGCGCCGTGATGGACAAGTAATCTAACTACATCTTCTTGTCCGGCTAGGGAAGCGATATGAAGCGCTGTGTTGCCCTTTTTCGTGGCCGAATCGACGGCCGCCCCACGTTTCAGCAACTCCTCGACCACCTGCACGTGGCCATCCTTCGACGCCAGGTGCAGCGCGTTAAGCCCATTCTGTAAGGCATCATCGTCGCAAAACGGCCCTTAAGATATAAACCCCAAAAGCTTACCGCATTGCTAGTGTTGATGTCGATGTTCTGCTTGAGATGCTCGAGGACCTTGTCGAGGTGACCAGCACGCGCCGCGCGCAGAAAGGACGTATTGCCGTCGGACTGCAACAATATTATTACGTAATTAGAATGTGACGTCACTTAACACTATAGCCACCCTACAAGTGGAAATCAATGCGCGCTTACCATGCAGGGCAGTCTGAAGCACAAAGGCATCCTTAATCGCCCTAACTCATCTCAACAGGTGCGGCGATTCAAACTTGTAAAAATTCTCAAAAAGATCATTCTCCCCCCGAAATATAATTGCCAAAGGGGCGTATAAAGTTCATCCAAAAATAAAAATATGCATCAAAAACACCGGCGGCCCGGCGGCCGTACGAAGATGGTTTGCTAAAACACGTTCCGACGCCGCGCCTTGCGACGTAAGCGTTCAATAAAAGCGTCGCGACGGCGCGTCCCGCTCCTACTGCCGCCCCTTCGTGTAAACCGCCACCGTGAAAATATTTGGGCCTTTCGAGGCAGAGACACGCGAGTCGATTTTTTAAATTTAATTTTCTGGTCGCGTGACTGTCGCCCCTAAAAAACTTTTGACATTTTCAGTTCGTCCGCACAGAATAAGATATCGCTACAAGTTTATTAATTTCGGGTGACACAGTTTCCTGAAAGCCGTAGAAAAAGATCCTGGCACCGTTTCATAAATAATTATTAGCAATGGGGAGGTTGAGTAGGGGGTGTAAAACAAAAGCGAAGAAAATGAACAATTGGCGAAGTTACGAAGTCACGAAGTGCAATCCGGCCCTTAAACGCAGAAAGTGAACACTTACTAGGCTGGGGCCGGCCTCCTGGCAAATACAAGCACTTATCGACACACAAGCGCGAGGGGGGGGGGGATTCTAGAAATGTGGATGAGTATTTGAAAAATTCCCTGCATTTGTGAAGGAAAGACAATTGCTGTTTTCTTGCTAAGGCATATTCCAAACCCCCCCCCCCCCACTCCGAGACCCCCAGTGCTACATTTTTCATTCAAACGTTTCTGCAACAGCATGTCTGTGTGTGTGGTGGGGGGCTGCATGCGCTTTGGGTCTGGTAACCCCTCAGCAAAAAGGAAGAGAGGTTTCAGGTTTCTTTCCTGAAGAAAGATATTCCCCCCCCCTCCTCACCTACTTTCATTACTAAATCCGTTCAGCCTTCGCCATCCTTATGACGACTTTTCAGTGAGCAACGGAATTATTTTCCCAAAAGGGATATTCAAAGAGGACCATGTAAATGGTGGGGATTGCACACGTTTTGGGGAAGCACGCAGCACCGGGAGGGTCTGGAATATATCTCAGAAAAAAAAGAGAGATTTAGGTTCTGGGAGAGAACTTCGTGGATAGGCACGTGGAGCAACATTGCATTTTTGGATCCTGTGGGATATCTATTCCTGATGGATCTGAGGCATTTGAAGGATATGGAGGATTTGAACGATTCGAAGAATCCGAGGATTCCGTAGAATCCCACGAACCTAAAGAATCCGAAGAATTTGAAGGATACAATGAAACCGAACTATACGATAGATCAAAGAATTCAAAAAATGAAATAAGTACAGAGAACGTGTAGAATTCGAAAAAAGAACCCGAGGGATCAAAAGAACCCGAAGAATACGAAGCAAACAATGGGAAAAATCCGATGTATCCGTGAAATATCCCCCAGGAAAGGAACAGTTGCTTCAGGTTTTGGTGGAGAACTTCACCGAGAGGTGATTCTCCGATCCTGTGAGATAGTCCATTCATGATTTGTGGAGGATTTGAAAGGTACGTGGTGTTATCATTGTATTTTGCGATCCTGTAGGATATTCTATTAAACCCCCTCCCCCACACGTATTACGTTGTTCCATCATTTCTGACAGAAGACAGCAGCATATCTTCCTGGGGGAATTCCATAGCCCCCAGACCCCCGGGTTCTACAGTCTTCCGTGATGATTCTATGTCTCTTTCCTAGGGGTCTGGACATCATAGAAAGCTATGTGGGGCACCATTGAATTTTGCGATCCTTTAGGATATTCCCATCCCTCTCCCCCCAACGTATCATTTCTGAAGGAAGACAGTTGAATTTTTCCTGAGAGGGGGGATTTCATATCCTCCAATGGAAATAGGGCGAGGTTTCAGGTTCTGGGGGAGAACTTTATAGGGAAGTATGGTGTACCACTGGATTTTCCGATCTTGTACGATATTCCACTCATCCCTCTTTCCCAATGTATTACGGTGTTACTTCATCATTTCTTAAGGAAGTCGCATTTCTTGCTCCTTTTCCTAGAGAGATTCCATAATCTCCACATCCCCTGGTTTTACATTCTTCCGTAAAGATTCTTTGTTTATTTCCTGGAGGTATTCCCCCCGGATCCTCCGATTCTACGTTTTTCCCCAAAACGTTCG